AGCTAAGAATAAAACAAGACATGTCATGTTAACTTGACGCTGATGCTCCTAGGAGAGACTACAGCTACTGTGGCCACACAACCATGAGCAGCACTGAAGGAACCAAACCCTACTTTTAATCCTTTGCAAAAGACACTGTTTACAAGTTAACTGTTTTTGCCTGTGAAAAGTCTGTGAAACAGCCATTGTAATTCCACACTTTCAAAAATCTGCAGTTATCACAACACCCACTTCTACTGTATGTGTTCAGCTTGTCCAGCTAGCTCACTTCCCAGCATTACACGTCTTTTCCCTGATTCTCCTTGTCCACTCAGCCTGTTTTCTCTAAATACACTTACTTTTTGCACACAGTACTGAGCTAAAAACTCACCTTTAACAAAGAAAAAAACAAACCAAATAAACCCAGCTAAAAATGGTAAAGCAAATTAAAAGGGGAACAGCAATTGCAGTCACAGGTTTACTAGCTTCTGAATTAACAAATCACGGTAGCTACTTTAGCTACTCTACACAAAACACTGTGAAAGGACGATTCAGATAATCTATAAAAAAACCCACCGTATTCAAATATTACAGTTGCTTAAATTCACTTAATTTCTAGCTTTATCTTTCATGCCTTTAACTGGAACACAGCATCATTATATTTTACAGAGGAAAAGATGCCCTGGAATCTTACAGTAGGTTTTGAATATACACAGAGAAAAGGCTCCTCTCAGAAACAACCGTGCTAGTTCTACCATATATTTGTGAGCTTTTCATCAATTAATGACAAAAAGGCCAGTGAAGTGACACAAGTTGTTCTGGAAACTTGCCCTTGCACCAGTAAGTTCTGTAAAATCCTGCTGTTAACATGAGGGCTTCTAGAAACGTTAAAGAAAAACCAAGAGGCAAAACCTACAGACTAATCCTGCAGTAACTGAATTACTGCAGTAACTGAACTACTGCAAAATCTCATCCCTGGAATATTTACACAGATTTCTCAGAATTCAGACTCTCTTATTTTTAGATTACATTTTTACTTGCCTGGTTTGAAAAACAGTTTATATTATGAAGGCAAAGGTGTCTAGCTGAATTCACAGCCAAAACCACAAACATTAGCTAAAGAAGACAAGACTTTTAACACATATCCTTATGCCTTCGTGTGTTTGCACCTTTATTCCTTGTATTACTTTTGTTTCAGATGGTGAAGTGCCTCACAGCAGGGACCTCAGTTCTCTGTGTCTGTAAGGCACCATATGTGTTTACAGTGCCCTGTAAATTATTTCTACCAAATATTAACACCATTAGCTACTTTATCAAGCCTTGCTTTTGAGATTGAAAGATACACACTCACAAACACAAACCTAGCGACAGTTTAGCTGAGCAAACACATTTATTAAAATACTATTGGGAGTTTTGGTATGCTAAACACAAATATGCACACATACATACATACACACACACACACATATATATATATATACACTTCACATGCACAAGTTTTGTACATGGGTATATATAAACACGTACTGAAATTCCACAGAAGTTTCTAAGTCACCTAACTTCTGTCCCCAAGTTTAGTTTCTGCAAAAACAAACGCAGAACCAAAGGCACCATTTAAGTCAGAAAGAGTTGCTTCACTTGCCTGTTGATATTTGACTTGGAACAAATGTGAAAACAAATGCATGCCCTCCTGCCAGTTTTGATCCACACCAAAGCTGTGTTTTTCTCAGCTTAAACTGTAACCCAATTTTTTTCTTGAACTTGATGATGACAATATAAATACGATGCACCTGATATGGTGTGTTGCATCAGAAGTGTGACCAGCAGGTCAAGGGAGGAGATTCTCCCTCTGCTCTGCTCTGGTGAGACCCCCCCTGCAGTATTCCATCCAGCTCTAGGGCCCTCAACACAAGAGGAACATGGAGCTGTTGGAGAGCCTCCAGAGGAGGCCACAGAGATGATCAGGGGGCTGGAGCACCTCTGCTACGGAAACCGGCTGAAAGAGCTTGATTTGTTTGGCCTGGAGAGGCTCTCGGGAGACCTTAGTGCAGCTTCCAGTGCCTAAAGGGGCCCTACACGGTGTCTGGAGAGGGACTTTTTACAACGGCATATACTGACAGGACAAGGGGGAATGGCTTTAAGATGACAGGGGGAGATTTAGATTAGATATAAGGAAGAAGCTCTTCCCTGTGAGGGTGGTGAGCCCATGGCACAGGTTGCCCAGAGAAGCTGTGGCTGCCTCATCCCTGGCAGTATTCAAGGCCAGGTTGGATGGGGCTTGGACCAGTCTGGTCTAGTGGAAGGTGGGCTCTATGCTGTTGCAACAGGTTGAAACTGAATTAGCTTTAAGGCCCCTTCCAAACCAAACCATTCCATGTTATTAAGTGCTAGTAATGTCCCATAAAAACCAAAACAATTTACACCAGACACAAGTATTGTTTTCTTCATGAAGACAGCTGGTATTCCGCCTATTCCTCTTGTTCCAAACATGATTCCTTCTGCTGCTGCTGGCATTCTGATTTAAAAAGAAGACATGTCAAACATCCATGAGGCAGCCGACAGTATAAACCCAAGGTCTTTTACGTGGCACCTCAACGCTCAGCATGAACTAAATACAGACCTAGGCACTAAAGGCGCGGGTCAGCGGGAGCAGTGCGGTAAAACCGGGCCGTGCGAGGCGCCCCGGGGCTGACCGCAGACGGTGTGTGGCACGGCCGCGGTGACACCAGCTGTAAGCCGCTGCCGCACCCACACCACGGCGCCACCGAGGCATTATCCCCGAGGCCCACTCGCCGCCGAGTTCCGCTGCCCCTCGCAGCCTGCGTCTGGCGGATGGAGCCTCCCCTCAGCAGGCGGCCGGCTCACCACACGAGGGCGAGGAAGCGGGATGCGGCCGAGTTGCAGGCCGGGGCTAGGCCGGCACCGTCAGCTCCCAACCCGGCCGCCCTAGCAGCGGGAAGACCAGACCGGGACTCCCGCGGGTTCCGGGGGGTGGACACCGCTGCCCGCCCATGGCTCCCCACCGGAGTGTCCCATCCGCGGCCTGCGACCCAGCAGGAGGTGGGGGACCCTGGCTAGCCTACCTGGTAGACAGTGGAGCCCGCGTCGGGGGGTGACCCCACCGCTGCCACCGCCTCACCCCGGTAGCCGCGGCCTGGGGGGGCGGCTCTCAGCAGCTGCCAGTGGCCCAGCAGCCGCCGGGAGCCCAGCAGCATGGCGGCGCCGCGCATCGAGCCGAGCCGATCCGAGCCGAACCGAGCCGAGCCAAGCCAAGCCGAGCCGAGCCGGCAGTCCCAGGCCCACAGCGCCACTCCCCCCGCCGCAGCCAATGGGCATGAACGGGGCCCTGGGACCGGGCTTGGCGGCAGCGTCGTTACTCGCGGTGATCCGTGCCGCCGGTTGTGCGGCTGTGACTGTGAGAACCGAACTCGTCCAACGCTAAAGGCTTTCCCTTTGCGGGTCGGCGACAGGGTACCGAAACCTCCCTCCGGCCCAGGCTGCAAGACAACGCTGAAGAACTCCCATTGGAAGACTCTTGTTCCAGACGGGGTTACACATCTGTGCATCCCCGAAGAGCCCTTGCCCTTTTGGTACCTGCAGAACGGCTGAGATGCTACAGCAAGAGTGGCAGATCATTTATTTTTTTCTATTGTCCCTTGTGTGAAGGCTTTGCTGTTTTCCAGCATTCCAGTTTTATTTTGTATTTACAGAGAGAAAGCAGCGTGAAGCCTGGTACAAAGCCAGTTAGGCTGTATGCTACGACATACCTCAAACTAGAGACACACACCACACAGTCTGTTCCCACCGTGTGCACCCCAGTGCTGCAGTCAGAGCTTCAGCCATCCATTTAGCCTACACTTTCATGAACTTACTATGAGCATTTAAAAACTACAAATGATATTCCAAGAAAAGGATACAGAGGCAATATAAAATAATTTATTCACACAATTCATAGCAGAGAATATGACTACTTTCTTTGAAACAGATGTAAGCAGCGATATAGGATGTTGGACAACTCTACACAAAGCAGTCTTATGCAACATCTTCACAGAAATGCTAAACTAATAGGGATTGACATTTCTACCTTACCTACTTCACCATTATAAAACTTTTATACACAAACAGAACACAAAGTGGTCTTACCTTTATTCAAATTAAATTTGTTCTTAAGGAAAAAAAAAATCCAAACAAATCCGAAACCCTCTAACAAAGTGCATGTGACTTACTGCAGGGGGGGAAAAAAAATGTGTGTAGCCCAAACTAACAGGTAGATAAGGCACCTCAAATATTAGTCATGAAATAGTTGGGTGTTTTTTTATCTTGTAATAAGAATGCAAGCTAAAATGTATAAAACTAAATGTGGAATGGTTATCCCTTCAAAGTATTTAGGGCTATTATTTCATAGTGACTCCCCACAAATCTGTTTTAGTCTCTTATAAGTGCAAGTGATTAAAACAAGCCACATGTAACTGGAATCTAATTCATACATAAAATAATATCTGCAAGATATACAATACATGGCCCTTTACAGATAGCTCAATATATGTCTTAACGTTTACAAGTAAGACAATATTTAGATAAACATTTCAAGTTGCATGGATTAGACAAAGGACAAGATACTATCTGAACAGAAACTGATGGTGATGAATAGTTTTGGGGTTTTTTGGATGGTGGGGGGGGTTGACAGTATGGTTTCAAGTTAAGTTCACACTGGGACTGTTAGTCCCTTTTCCATCACTTCAAGAAGATACTGCTGCTAGACACATTTGATTGAGAGACGCCTGCTAATGCAGCAATTTGCAGTAACAATAGCTTTTCTGTGTATTTTTCCTCATTGACAAAATTTCAAAGGTTCCTTCAGAAGCCTTGCTTTCGGAAAAGGCAAGCAGTCTCACAAGTACTTAAACTAATATGAAAATCTCTGCCAGTAAATGATTATCCAGTCCAAAGCTGAAGATAGGTTTGTTTGTTCTGCTCCCTGAGAGCACAATACCATTTAAATATCATTTTAGTAATAAACCTTTTGCAAAAGTACCTGCTGGTATGAAGGAACAGGAGAAAAATGTAGAGTACTTAATTCTCCACACTGATTTTTGTGTAAGAAGGAGTTTCAGAATAAATACTGATATGTGGGTGACCATCTCACTTTGAGACTGCATGAACCTTGTTGCCTCAACACGACAATCTTCTCGATGAAGCAAGTAAAAAATCATAAAGCTGCATCAGCATTTTATAGTGAGTTACAGCACAAGCAGACATCCAACATGAAGAAAACCATTCAAATTTTACTCCTTCAAAGTTGCAAATCCTCAAAGCAACCACATTGTCTAATCATGGTTTTGATCCTACCTCTTTGCACCACTTTGCACAAGGGAAACCAAGGAAGTCAGCAGATATACAAAAACCTACACATAAAACCAAGGAAAAGAAATGGTATTTATCCCCTTGTTTGCAGATTTAGAAGGAAATTAGCATTTGTATTAGGAAACATTAACCTTTTCCTCCTACTCCAATAGGACAGCCACAAAGATTAATGCTGCGTGGCATTTTTAATAAATCGTGGTTTTCCAGTTATTCTCAATAAATTTTTAAAGAACTAAACCTATTTGGCTTTTCAGTTAGGATCTTTCAATACATGTGGTTAAAAACACTTATAAAAATACATCATTTGAAGATGTTAATAAAAATACCTGCAGTACTGAACATACCTATGTATTTACTACACTACTTCCAGTATTTGCATCTTTATCTACGGAGATTACCCTATAGATAAAAAGTTCATTCCTCCTTCTAACACACTAACATAACATACTTCACAAAAAGAAGTAAAGAACTTGTACAGCCAGTACCACAAGCTTTAGCATTAAAATTCAAAAGGATACTTGTCACAAAAATTAAGCATTTGTTCATTGCACTTTTCTTGAAGATAGTCATGCATCCATTATCAGCATCTAAAGTGAAACTACAAGCTACCAGGTGCTGCTCTGGTCCAATTACATCAATGTAGAGGTTTAGATTATATCAACATTTTAAAAGCATCCAGGTTGCTTCAGAAGAAATACATTTCATCTTTATGGAATTAAAAACAGCTTGGTGACATTAAGTGTGGCATAATCGACATAAGAACTTAAAAAAAAAATACTCTTTTCTTGCTGCATTACACTCTCAGATTCTAGGTTTTTACAAAGCTGACTTGCTATTCTGAATCATCCACTTCCATAAAAATGTCACTGAAAAAATACTCAGAGATTCTGGTTGGTTCTTCCTCCTTCTCTTGATCTTTATCACAAAGGGGTGGCTTCTCAGGTGGCTTGTTACTTGGAACCTAATACAAAAAGAAAAAGCTCTTGTTAACAGTCTTAATCTGTTCGTGTGTATGTATGTGTGTATATATATATATATACATACGTAAACATGTACACACACACACATATATATGCACTCGAGCTTCCAATTTAGATAGAAAGGTTAGACAAAAAATGAATCAGTGTTTACTGAATACAGGAAACACATATTCATACCTGCAGCAAAAACATAACTCACTTCCCTTGTAAGTTTCCAACACATGCACAAGTCACGATTTATTCACCAGGATAGGATCTCAAAACACAAATACTACATACCACCTACCCACTCCTGAAATAACTAATTCACTGTTCTTCACATCTCAAAAATGCAAGGATATTCAAAGGTAAACATATACCGTAACTGCAGCATCAGCAGCTATATTCTCATACTCCACAGATGATGATGTGCTTGTAGAGGGAAGAGAACAAGATTCTCCGTCGTCCTTGGGAGATGGAGTGTGGTTTTTTAGGTTTCGCTTTGGAGTCACAAGCCGAGGTTTTGGGATCTTCCCTCTATCCCTTTTGGAATTTTCTGCAGTCTCAGAACCACTTTTTGTGCAAATTAAAGATAAAAATCCCAGTGGTTTTCGGCCACGCCTGCTCGAAAAGAAAAAATAAAATAGTCATTATGTAATAGGATTGCTCCATGAATGGAAGATATGTATATTATTAGAGGAGTCCAACTCATAACAAAGGAAACACACACCTCTGACATCTATGAAAAAATCCAAGGAAAAAAAACCCCAAAAAGTCATTCTGAGAAAGGCTTTTGGATTACAGAATATTCTGGCGCAAGATTTTATGGAAGCGTTGCAGAGACCCTCAACAATCTCCATCCCTGAGAATAGGAACGTACTATTTGCTACTAAAGCAGAGCCTGTAACAAGCGACCACATCTTCAGAAAGAAGTTCCAAAAGGAACTGAGACATACTCCCAAAGAACAAACAGAAAAGAGCATCCTTTATGTAATCAGTGGAAAAAGAAACCTGATTCCCAAGGATGGGGCCAGAGCAGACTGCTGCAGCCCATTACCAGCATCATACCTAGTACTAGGACACTTACAGGTACACAGAGTATCAGCTTTTTATGTTGTTAAAAGAGTTTGCAACTTAGTAAACTTAAAGGCAAGGATTCTGATGTCAGTGCATTGTCATCCCAATTGCTGTGGAAGTTCCAGTACAAATAACTAGGTTTGGTACTCACACAAGCATAATGAAAGAGTAAACAGCATGAAAAGAGACCAATAGAGCATCACAACAAACTTGAGTGAGCAATGGAGAGCAGGAACTCAAAACACTTAAGCATTATAGAAAAATTATATTAAAAACATCCACAATCAGATGATTAAACAAAAGGAGTATTCTCTGAGCTGTCAAGACTGAAATTCTTTTGGGGATATGACACATCTTAAGTTAGTCCTAAAAATCCTGTGCGCTGAGAACCATACCAGTAACAAATGTTATTGGCAGAAGGACAAAAAAATCAAAACAAGTGGATGGATGTATATATCACAACATTAGACTCAGCTCACGAAAAGAACAATTATTCTAAATCTGTATCGTAGCCAGCTGATGTCTGCCTCACCAGAGGCATCTGTCAGTGTCTAAAGTAGACATACCATGCATCAGTAGTGTCCCTTGGTCAATCTGCTCACTTAAATGAGTAATTCAAATTTCAAAGCAGACAATTTGTTTCTTTTTACTTTGCTGAAGAGGATAGATACTGTAACTCTAGCTATACATGTCATAAACAACAGTACTGCCCTTCTTGTAATACTAAGTGGAAAAAAAATATGAAAACCTCAATATGGCAAAATGGTCCTTCTTTTTTTACAGAAAAAGCCAACAAAGCATTGCATCAATACCTGACTAATGGAGTTTTTGAAGATGATGCTAGGCTTCCAGTATGTTCCACCTGTCCAGATTCATGCACTTCACTCTGCTTCCCTTGTCCACTTATTTCTGCTTTTCTGCTAGGAGACAATCTAGACACCACTTCCTCTTTCTCTCTGGATGCTGAATTCTGAAGTGGTGCTATCCTGAAGTTCTCCAAAATCTCCAGGTGGCTCCTGTCAGCCAGTGGTGACATAGATTTGGACACCAACACAGAGGCAGGTACTTTCTCTTTTGCTGAAGCCTCTGTCATTTGAAAAGGATTCCCTGTAAAAGTAGTTGAGATGTAAAGACTTCTATTACTTAACTTCAGGGATAACACAACAGCCCAAAAGACACATGTGATGTTAAGAAGGTTTGTACCATTACAAGAGAAGGGATTATTTTTTTCTTTTTTTCTTGTATTTTTATTTTCTGAAGTCCCCGCTAAAGATTAAAAGTTCATGGTCTACTTTTAAAGTCTGTAAGATCTTACGGATGTTACGGGGAAAAAGCTGGAAAAGCTGGTAGAAGCGTGGTTTTACAGCACACGCACACACACCCCCTTTTCAGCACACCACTAGAGTTAGTAAAGTCATCTACCTGTTTAAGCTTCTACAATTACACCTTAAAGCCTTTCTCAGGGCCAAAAAGCACTTTGCCAAACCCTTCACAGGCTCATTGAAGACTGCGTTGTCAGCATTGCAGCTTTCTCTCTGATTCTTCAGAGGCAGACAAGATTTCCAAACAGTTATGTTTTGTGCATATTTTTTAAAAAAGACAAAGTAAAATAAAAAAGGAACTACTGTGGTTAAAAAATTAGTACAGATAAAATATCAGTTAATGCCTGTGCTTACTAGCGCCCTCTAACAGGTGGAAATATTAAGAGAAGATGTGTTTAGCTCCCAAAGCCTCCCAAATTTCACAGACTAGCTACACAAACATTTTTAGAACCACCATTAAATTAACAATTATATAATCCAAACACACATAGTTCATAGCAAAAAAGCACGGAATGGTGGTATTAGGGTAAACTTGTTCCTATTTTCATGTTAGATAACCTCAGACAGGGCAATTCAGCACAATAGCAGCATGAAATTGTGATGTATTAAGCATTTATATTCATTATACGTTGTTTTGCAAGTTTAAATATACCTACCTGAAGTTACCACTGGAGCATTTGTGGATTTAATTGAGTGAGTCTGTATTTTAAAAAGAAAGAGAAAGGTTATTTGTCTTTTTTTCTCAATACAGAAGAGAAAATTAAAGCTGATACAGCCATATCACGCATGTACAGTTCTAAGAATAGCAGTGATACAGAACACTACATCTTCAGTACAGTGTCATTCATGACCTAACTCATTTCCTAAGCAGGCTTTTCAAGGTGTTACGACAAACTATTCACGACAAGGATGTCAGGATGAGAGATCAGTGAAAAGGCTTGTTATCCAGTCCTCCCTAGAAATGCTCTCTGAATCATGCAGGGAATTTTCACCCATTCCTTCACCCAGATACACTACACAATCTTAGCTTACTCACAAAAAGCAGTGGTAGTCACTGCTATAAGCTTGGGCATACTCTAAATGCACACAGGGAAGCTGGAAACAGGCTGCCTAGTTTTTATTTGCAGCTTGTTCTTTTAAACTAATACTTGTGATGTTAAAAACAAGATAGGAATATATATATATCTAACTTCTTCACGAAGCAACAGACACCATGAGGAATCACAACATTGTTCAGTGAACCCAGACAGTCTGCCAATCACTCTATAAAGATCCAGAGTTCCACCTCCCTCAGTGTCAGTGTTGGAAAGGCTGTAGTGAATGAACCAAGACAGTCACATAACCAGTCTGCCTACAAGGAAGTCTGATAGTAAAACCTGAGAACCTATAGACTCTCCAAAAAAAATCTGATACTATATTAACAGCCCCCAAACTGTTGTGAAGTTCAAAATAAAAAGTAATCTGTGAGTACTGATTTTCTTTAAGTTGTATAGGCAGCTCATTTTTACACAAGTGATACCAGTAAACAAAAAAACATAATTAAGATGCTCGATTACATTTTATGCATCTACACTTTGCATAAAGACTCATGGACCAAATTATGATCTCACCTCATAAGTGGTTTCCAAGTTATTTTCCACTACAACAGGAGAGAGAATTTTCTTGGCTGGAGGAAAGTCATTCTCCTCTAGGTCAGCAGCTGACCTTTTCTGAGTTGTCTGTAAATTTGGGACAGGCTCTACTGATGCACTCTCTAGTTGTTCAGTTTCCATAATGCTGTTTAAAGGTGCAGTAAATTCATGAGTTGTTGAAGATCCAATACTGTATACATAAGAAGACATTACTATGGCTGTACAAAAGCCCAAGTTTACTTTGCATAACATTTCTGTATGGAAATTACACATGGATCTGTGTGATACTCTTTCTTGCTTTATATCTAATACTAATTTCAAATGTACTGTTTACTATCGAGAAACATTTTTCTCTGTCGAGTTAGAGAATTAGGTTTTTCTAGTAATAATTCAATCTAATTACTTCTAGAAACTGTTCAATTTAATTGTACTTGATATTTTAATAAAATGTAAAAATAAGACAAGTGATTAACTGCCCTAGGAGATGCTACAATACAGTATTATTTATACGTACAGTTGAATCTTTACCCCCATGCTCCCACACTGTCCTCCACTCCCCAGTATGGTCTCAAAAGACAAGAAGCCATCTAGGGGAGCAGCAGACTAGGGAGATAGGGTAAAGCAGAAGGGAACAGTGAGACAGAAGATATACCCTAACTCTGCCTATTAGCAATTCTGTGTACTAACAGTAGCTCCACAGGAGCTAGAATTCTTAGCATTTTGTAGCCAAAATTCATAGTGTTGCCAGAATTCACTGTGTAGCCAACATTCACCCAGACATATCCTTTTAATAACTCAGGGAATGACATCAACATTTCAACATTTGATGTTACACAGCAAGGTATCGTGTTTTTTACAACTTTGCAACACTTCTTATTCTTCAGAATGCCTTTTTCTCTTGATGTTGGGTTTTTCCCTCCCAAACTGACTGAGAGATTAAGTTCAACTGTAATGCTGAAATCGCAATTTTTGTTATATTGCATTAAGGAGTACTACTTGAAAAAGAAAATCAAACCCTTTGTATTGTAGTTCTGCAAATCAGTTATTATCCGGTTGAGTAATTAATTTGCTTGCTTTTTCAACATGGCACAAATTCAAGAGAGTATCTGAATTTATGTCCATGGTTTATCATGTTCTCCAGAACGTTAAAAACTAAAAATCTACACTGAAAATCTGGAAGAGCAATTAATACCTACTTTACAAAACTGTTACAGCAGTATAAAAGTGTGAACATGCTTAGATATTTCATTTCAATTACTTTTCATTCTAAGTATCCATGGCAGAATCGATTCAGACTAGACAAAAGGTTTTTGCTAAAAGGGAAGACTTTCTCTAAAGGGTAAATCAGAATTAAGATTGACACCAGAATCCCAGCTAACTAAAACACTAACTTCAAACTACTGATGAGATCTTTCTCAAATCTGATGAAATCTTTCTCAAATCTGATGAGAGCCCTTTCCACTTCCTTTTCTCTGCCAAATTATTTCCTTTTGCCTCTCTTCTTTTGAGAAGTTCTAATCTGTAATGCACATTTAATAAACAAACAAGGTTCACAAAAAATACTTCACTTTACTCAAGAATAAAGCATTTACCTCTCCACTTCAGTCACACTTGTTTTCCTTGCATTTATGGGGCTGATAAGTATTGGGGCTGGTAGTAATGGTTCTGAAGTTTGTTCCAGCAAAACAGATGCATCAAACTCTTTTGAATCAGCTGGGATTTCCACCAACGTTAAAATGAATGTATGTTCCTCCTCTGGATATCTATGATCATTGTTCACTACTATCATTTTTTCAGGGAAATAAAGAAATAATAAAAATCTGTTACTCAAGTTTGAAATTACACTATTCTCTTCATGCCCTCCCTACACCGAGTAATTAAGTTTTAGGCACTCATTTCTCCACAGAAAAAGGCAGTGAGGATATTCTTGAGACAATTCTTCTTAGATGAGATACACATCGTCATCCCCTGGAGCCTATTCATTGCAGTAGAATCCTGATTACTGTTCAGAATGAAGAATATTAACAATACTTAGTAGGAATTGAGCTTTTTTAATGGCTGTTCTGGCATTAAAGAACAATTTGCAGTTTAATTAAACTTGTGTAATGGTGGTCAAGTGGTCCTTTGTCTTCAATTGCAACTGTCAGGTATTGTTACTTCTTTAAATGGCAGAAGTCTGCTGTTTTGATGGTAAACAAAAGGCTTTTTTCCCCTTACTTCAGGCTTGCAGAAGAGGACCTGAGAAGTATAGTCCTGAATTTAATAAATGAAGAATATAAATGATTTAGTCAACAGATGGACATTAAAGGATAACTGCCAAGTGCCATCCATTAGAATGAATTTAAGGTGAGAACATTTGTAAAGTTTTCAAAAGATAGAAAACAGTGCTGCACCACTACTTAAGACAGATTCCATTCTTGACATAAAGCTGCTGTTATTTCAACCTCAACTCAACTCTGGTTCTTCATCTAATTAAAGATGATTTAAGATGCTCTGTCACAAGATCCTTGCAGTAACAGAGCATAACAATAGATGTCTAGGAAGTATTAGCCCCATCTTTCACACATGCTCAGGAGTTAAAAGTTCTGACTGCAGTTTCTATGTAAAGTATGTGTTCCTGGCTTTTGACACAGTGATTTTCCCATACCTCAGACAAGTATTGGCTCCAGAACAGCTCCATTTCAATTTGGTCTAGGGAAAAGAAGCCATCACCTTCATTTCTTTCATCACATCTAATAAGTTAGGCATTAATCTGCTGACTCACTACAGCTAAAAGGAGGAAAGTCTGGTTGCCGTCTTCTTTTTTCTTCCCCAATTCTTCTTCCTCCCCTGCTCTGCATTTGCACAGTCCATCCCTTGGACTCACACAACTCTTGACACTTGACAACTCTATAGCTCACTAAACCAGTGGAAAACTATACAGGTTCTCTCACTCTATGACATCCACCTTTTGATGGACAGGTGAGTCAGAGGCTCATAAAGCCTCTAACAACCGCTAAACCTAGCATGAGTTAAGCAGCAGGAGCTCACAGCAGGGAGGAGAGAGCAAGAAGTTTTTCTTTCCCTGATATTTAAACTTAATGAAGTGCTATTCAAAAAGTTCACAAGTTTGGTTTGTATCAACAAAATTTAGTAAGAGACTCAGGAGGGGAATGCACTGTACTGTGGGTCACTGTTTTTGTTAATGAAATAAATTTTTTAATCATGTAGATGAGAATGTTTCTGGGTTTTGGTTTTGTTTTTTACTTCTTTGTGTAACCACAAGATACATCACTGTGGGCTTTTGCTAACTTGGAATATTAGCACATTATACCTGAAGTCTCGTCTGTTCTGCTTATCCATTGTTGTTGATCATCCTGAGCACAAGCTTCATTCTAGAAATAGCAGTTGAAAGAAAATGTTAATAAACCTGAGAAATAACTCTAGAAAACAGGAAAGAAACAAAGCATGTCAAATGCAGAAGAACCAAAATATCTAATGACATCATCATAATTACATTTGTCAGTTTTTACTTCTAGCTACGGTAGGTTGAAGGATATTAGCCTTACAAGGACAAGAGACACTTGGGCAATATAAAAATTTATATGCAGCTCATTGTCTGTATTGATGGTTTGTCAAAATAAATTTATACTTCCTACAGCACAACTCTGTCAGAGATGACTCACACAATAAATTGCTCAGTGGCACTCAGAAAACAAATGCCACCAACCATTACAAAAACACTGAGTGCAGAAGAAAAACACCAAGCTCTGCAACTCACCCATCCCTTCCTTTTTATGGCATATATCTTTGCTAAATCCACGTATACTCTACTGCAAGTAGCCTCTTCTCACACACTCTGCCAGTCCTGTAAGACCCAAATCATTCTTGTACCTTGTTCTACCATAAGATCACCTTGACACATCAACAGGTTGCAGTGAATGAATACAAGTCCTAGGTAACTTCTTCCATCAAAACTCTTTAAAAAATTGCCCCCAAATTTACTAGCATTTATTTATCACTTACTGCTGAAACGCTATAAACTGAGGCTTGCAAAGATTAATGTTGTCCAAAAAACTAAGTTTGGTTATGCCTTTGTAAAAAAAAGAAAGTTTAGTTCACCAGTTGTGTTCAAAATGTACTAGGTCTTTAAAATGAGATAGTACATTTTCATGGAAAACCTCTTCCTCTACAGGATTTCAGAAACTGGATAATTCTAGACTGTAATTAAATGGAGTTCTTTACCTGAGTAAAATTAATTGTGCACATGTTGTGCTCAGAAGGATAAGGATTTTGCTCAGAAAGTCCATCCACAGAACACTGATTCGGACAATCCTCTAGTCCAAGGTGAGATTTTTCAGGTGTTGGTGATGTAGTTCGTAATTCTTCTGATTTTCCATGAACATCTCTCATCTCTTTTTCTGTTCTGTAAGGTATGTACCTAGTTAATTTGAAATCAGTATGAGATGGTTTGTGCATGCATTAAATTCTGTACAATTACATATTTAATATGAAGCTCATGTAGGTACAGAGAAACAGGTCACCTGTTTAAATATTAGATCATTCTACTGATGAGAATGCGTAATGCTCGAACAAGTCAAAATACACTATTACAGGAAAAAGCCTCCCTAACATCACTAATTCAGATCTTATTAGAAAAAGCATGTCCAAGCAGGAAGTCTTACAAGCTCATTAATATTTCTAAATTGATCAACTCCTTAACATTTCCTTTCAGATGCAGTTTCATGGGAGACAATCAAGCAGCAAACTGATTACTAAGTTCTGAAACAGCAAACAGAAGTTAATGTTTTTGCCTCTAAGATCTGTAAGACAAGAGAGAAAATCCTTAAAGTTAACAGTCTAACCTGCACACTTAAGTGCATAAACACACACAATATATGTAAGCAGTTTCCATCATGGACACATACTATATATGCACTTCAGCTGCATATTTTTAAGAGACTTCAAGAATAAAACCAGTACCTACTGATGATTCTTCCTACCTCTCAATTTTGTCCGCTTGCTTGTTAAGTTCCACACTTCTAGTTGCAAAGTCATGAAAAACTGGAGAATCACCTGCAGCTGGTCTGACCTGTTCTAGTTCCACCTTCTGCATTTCTGCAGTACCTCTCAGGGTTGTAGACTCTTAAGATACATAAGGATGAAGATTCAGTTAGTATTTTTTATGTGCGTGTGTGTGTGTGTATACATATATATATATATGCATATATCTACATTTATATTTTTATATATAAGCTTTTGTATATTAAAATGTGTATATATATATAGATGCATATATATAAGCACATTACAAAATTATTAACCCTAGGATAAAAAGTAGGCTTACCACTTTGAATTTGCTCTGGTTGTTCCACAAGTATATTTGTAGTAAGTGACTTCTGAATTGTGTTGTCATTGGACATCAATACTTCAAAGGCTGGCTCAGGCTCCAAGAGCCCGCCTCTTGTCGGTCTCAAACCACTCAACGTAGGCAAAGAGCTATCACTGCAAGTAAAAAGGAAAAATGTCATCAATACAGTTTTTGATTGTTGACAGTTAGTGCAGAGGAGAGGTAAGAAAGATAGAATAGATAAGACAATGAAGAGCTGAAATACAGGCTGTGGAGGAGACAGAAGACTATTCGTCAAAACAAAAAAGAAACTATCTGGGAATTGGAAAAGTCAGTCAACTAGGATATTCCCTACCTACAGAACAAAACCAAATAATTGAGATATTTAAAAAACATGAAAAGATCAGAAATGTAACACCAATCAGACAGTAGAAAGTTCTGGTTATAACATAATACAAGAACCACTGGATTTAAAATAACTTATTTTGATTATAATTTTCAGAGGTGTATATTCTGATAGTTTGTCATAGCAACCAACAACTTAAACAGTCTTTTAAATAGTACATGATCACCAGGAGATTTTTTTTCTGAAAAGATGTTCCATCAAGCTAATTCAACATTCACAAATGCTTGAGCAAAGTTAAAAACCAAAAGCATTAAACCCCCCATAATGATAGAAGATAAACCAGTTCCTTGCCATCTCTGCACCAAATCTTTGATAAACATCCCACAGCAGCAGTGACACATAAGCAATTTCCCTTGGCCTGATTAGCTGTACTTTGGGAAAATGAGCTTCGTAATTAACAGTGATCCATACCAACTAAGTCTGAATATTCTTTTCTCCCCACCATGGTAAACTTAACTTCAGAAGAACAAGTTCTACATCCCCAAAGTTGCAGATCAATGTCTCACAGAAGTCATAAGAAAGAGACAAGAAGGGTTATTCAGATTACGTGCTGAATTACATAAACTGAGAAACCTTTGATAAAGCAAGGCTGTTTGCAATTCAATAAAAATAAACCTAGCAAAAGTAAGCAATGTCAGAAGACTTCTCTCCCAAAAGAAAATAAGTAGCAATTTAACCTGGTATCTTTAGCATTTTTCTCAAAATATTGGGTGACATCTGTTCTTGTGCCAGTTCTCTGATTCGCTACGTTAATGCTGCTTTCATCCTTAGAAAGGACCAATTCCTTGGTAGAAGTGTCTGAAGAAAGTAAATGCTGACTAGAAATTCTATCTTGTCTGGTACAGGCAGAGCTACTGGCCACGTCCAACTCATCCTGAGTGGGTAACATGTGTGCTCGTTCTGGTTAGAACAAGAAACAGAATAGAAAAGCATAATTTAAAAGACTCAGGTTTGGCATGTACATAAAGCCATTTCACAGTTACTGAACATCAAATCTTGTTTAACAAAGTCTGCATTCTCCAAAGATGCAAATTCAAATCCCAGGTAAATACAGTCCTAAAGCCACATTTTTAACAGTAATAGGCAGAAACTAGCATTCAACCAATGAAAGCAGATCAATTCTAATTAGAAGACTATAGAAAAAGAAGAGACTAAACTCAGGTAATTTCAGGTTGTAGCTAGTTAGCCAGAATAATCTACCTTTCAGGTTAAAGGCCTGAATGGTCATTAGAGCCTGATTCCTTTCTTTCGTCCAATTTACATGACCAGCCTCAGACATGTTCGTCCCAAACCAGGTCTCACAAACACTTTCCTAGCAAGGTGCTTTACTTTTCCAGCCAAGCTGCATTGTCTAGTCTCAAAATGCATTACATTTTAGCAGGGCTAAAAGCCTCTTGACCTTGCTATGCAGCAACACATGGAAGAGTTACATAGTCACTGCTCTGTCCCTTCTTAGGTGGACTCAAAGTTCAAGCAAGGGTTTGTCCCATAAATCAGATCATACCTTCAGTGCTTGTTTTTAACTGGAACATTGGATCACCCATTGCAAGTAAAGTCATAGCAGCTTCAGTGCTTCCATCATTAATACCTGCAAAGTTGTTCATACATGTTAAAAGTCACAAGCACATTAACCATAAATCCGCTTATCTGTTTGATGTCATCATCAATATACTGAAGCATGCATTTTTTTGAATTGTTGCCATTCATGGATCAAGATGCTTGGAAAGAGACAGCAATTCTCATCCACTAAACTAGAACTACTGTAAAAAACCTGATCAGCAGCATTATTCCCTTTAATGGTGTACTGGGTACATGTAGTAAGGTGTTGGCAGCATGGGGGCTGCTCTGGACACAGCTGGTTCCAACTGACCCCATCATAAGACACAGCCTGCCAGCCAAGACAATGGCACATTTGGGAAACACGTTTCAGAAAGGGGAAAATGTTGCATAGCAGTGAAAAGTAAGGGAAAAAGTGTCAGAAACATCCCTGAGTAAGTCTTGTGGTTTAAGCGCAGGAGGTAACTCAGCATCATGCAGTCACTCACTCACAACCCCCCCTCCTTCTCCCTTCCCTCCGGGCAGGATGGGAAAGAGAATTGAAAGAACATAAAAACCACGGGTAGAGATAAGCACAGGCCAGTAACTAAAGTAAAGTATGAAACTACTACTGCTACTACTGATAAGGGAAATAACAAGGGGACGGAATATAAAACTAAAAAGGGAAAAGAAAAAATACCATAATAATGTGATGCACAATACAGTTGCTCACCACCCACCGACCCGATCCAAGCAGCAATCTGGGCCTTCTGAGTGACTCCCTCCAGTTTATATACTGGGCATGACATGCTGTGGTATGGAATATCCCTTTGGCTACTCTGGGTCAGGTGTCCTGTCTCTGCTCCCTCCTGGCTTCTTGTGCTCACTAGTAGAGCATGAGACTGCAAAGTCCTTGATCAGGGTAAGCGCTGCTCAGCAATAACTAAAAGACTGGTGTGTTACCAGCATCGTTCTCAGACTGAAGCCAAAACACAGCCCTGCGCCAGCTACTAGGAAGGAGAAAAATAACTGTTAAAACTGAACCCAGGACAATAAGGAAGGAGGCGGAGGGGGTACTCTCGTGTGTGGGAGCAGAGATCCTCCTGCAACCTGTGGAGGAGACCTTGATGGAACAGGTAGCTATTCCCTGAAGCAACTGCACCTTACAGAGGACCCATGATGGAGCAGACTTATCCTCAAGGCCTCTACCCTGTAGCAAGGAGCACACACTGTAGTAGGGAAAGAGCATGAGGAGGAGGAAGCAGCAGAGATTGTTAGAAACTGACTGCAAATCTCATTCCCCTTTGCCCTGCACTTCTTGGGGGAAAAGAGGCAGAAAAGCGGGAAATGAAGGTGTGAAGTTAAGCCTAAGAAGGCAAAAAGAGAAAGCTGCTTTTCAGTTTTGATCTGTTTCTCAACATCCTATTCTGTTTAGCAACAGATTAAATTAGTTTTCCCCAAATTGAGTCATTTTGTAAGTGGTCTTCATGTTTTTATCTCAATCCAAGAGATTTTTCATTTTATTTTTCTCCCCTCAGCCTGCTAAGGAAAAGGAGTGGAAAGCAGCTGGGTGGGAATCAGCAACAGTTTAATCACAGAAATCCTTAACCTATGGTGTTGATCCATATCCCAGTTTAGACTCCCAGTCCCTAATTCGCTATCCAGAGTACATCTGTTTGCCTATCGCTAACTGGGCATATTCAAAAAGACATTTCCATCCTCCACAGCTATTGTACTGAAATAAACTGAAAGAACAAAGTAGGCTTCCCCTCCTTCAAGTAAGACACCAGGTACACTAAATCTGCAGTGGGATCTAGCAAGATGTATTGAGAATGTATTTAAAATGTGAAAGCTATTCTAAAAATCAATAGATCCATAAGAGTTTGTAAAATCCTACATGGAAAGAGTATTTGCTTCTGGAAGACTGTGATCACAGAGATCACAGTCTTCATGCTATTTTACAGATTTAGGATATTAAGGTCAGAGACCATAGAGATGACAAAGCTACAAATCTGCCCCATCTTTGTCTCACTCAGTCACACATCAAGCAAGTGGCAAGTAAGCAACTTCTGGACAACTACCACAGCACAGGAAAGAGGTATATGGGATACACAGAAGGCAATTCTGACTCTAGGAAACACAACTTGGCAACACTTGGTCCCCCTACTTGACAGAGAACAGTAAGAAAATAGTTTAAATCTTCTCCAAAACATAAAAATATGTAGTATCTCACAAGCAGTTTTTTTTTCAGTAAGATATATAAACCTGAAAACTTTCAGCAAGGATAACTACATAGTGGTAACAAGTTAATGGGAAAGACATTAACAATATTGTTTCATATCTACCTTTGTCCACGCCTGGATTTTCATGTATGGTTGTTTCCTTAAATAAAAGAAAAACAGTATTAAAGTTCTAGATAAGATGAATGCACAATTTTAATTCAATTACACACTTAAATTACAGGTAAATTCTGTCCAAAGTTTACCCTGGCTTTGAATGAGTATTTTAAAGGCTAAAAATATTCACTTACATAGGTTTTCCAAAGCTGTGTCCTTACATCTATACAGGACAGGCAAGAGTCTACTAAGCTATACTGTTACAAGCAGAGATGGCAATCAGGCACAGGCACTTTCTACGTTCTACGGAACAACAACAACAACAACAACAACATTCTTACTGCCATTTACATGCTTACTTTTTCCTCCCTCTGTACCACTTGATCGACAGATGCACATGACAGACTTTCAGCATCAGCAGCCACCTGCACATCTGGTATATTCACAGGTATTTCCAGCTGTAAAAATAATTTAAAAATATTCCAGTTCCTCAGCCAAAAAGAAAATCTGTCAAATGCAAGTTTTTTTATAAACTACATATAATTAGTACATCTTAAACATTTAGTGGGATCCTTCCCAAAAATCAAGTCTTACACTACACACTTCCTGATTTAAGAAAGCAGCATTTGTATGAACTGGAGACAGTGCTGCTTATAAGTAACTGGAAACACCAGATAACCTAAGACTTTGGGTTTAGTTGCTTATTATTCCACCAAACTAAGCTATGCAGCTGAGATCTTCCATGATGGCTGTTTACTTCAAATGGTTTTTGCTAGTTTTCATACTTTTCTGCTTTTTAAGTCTTCAGGAAGTTAAAAACAGCTCAGCCTTTTTCCAAAGACAGATTTGGGAATACACACCTCCCTACTCTACCCCCCCCCCCCCCATTACTTTACCTATTTCTTTTTTTCTTCTTCTCCTTTAAAACTTGTCTTTCCACTGACAGCTTTAGACATTTGGTATTTTCAGAAACAAGGACTGAAATTTGGCATAAAGGTTGCAGTATTTCTAGTGAAGTTCTTACGAAAAATACTGCTCAATCTGAATAGCTTTCGAAGGCTTGCACTTTTTATAGATGCTTTCCACTGATCTATTTAAACTTGACAACAGCTGAGTCCTCAGGTATCTAACCATATTCCTTCCTTACTAGAACTCATGACTCCTATGTGTCAAATCAAGAAACACATGTGATACATATTCCACATCTTTGAAATGAAGGGATTCAGCAAAACTTTCTGTGCAGGAACTTTGCTGTCCATTACTGTTCTAGAGTTACCCTTTGACTGAGCTTTAAATTTTTTTACTCTTTCATCCAGAGAAAGAACCAGTGTGATAAATTCATTAGACAAAGATTAAAAAAAAAAATTACAAAAAAAAAATAAGATTTCAATGAGAAGAGCAAAAAGAACTGGAGTGAGTGAAAAGCAGTGATGAAAACCTGAGGCATGAACTGGTCAGATAACAGATTCAGAGCAAAGCAAAAAGAAAAAAAAAAATCTCACCAAAAAAGCTGTGAAGACACATCACTAAGATAAGACAGGCCAGAAGGGCCAAAAAATGCAAAGATAGGGAAAAAGAGTAGACAAATGTCCAAACCTCTGAATGCAATCCCTTTCAAGGGACTTGAACAGAGTCCCAGACTTCAATAGTTCCCCAATAACAAGAAGTATGCCAGTTCCTCTCTAGTGACTAGTCTTAGTAGATGTGATACCAAGTCTTTCCACAGTCTAACAATCTTGAGTTCTATTCTAGGCTAACAGCATAATTAAAACATGGGCTTGCACACTAGGCTTAAAGTTTCCAACTCTGCAAATTGTTCACAAAGAATAAAAACATGTAACTTTCAAAAACTGGACCTCAGATTGATGTAGTGTTCTGTTCAAAACCATGTGCTAGGTAACATCCCTGCTACTCATTGCCATTGTTAACAACTCAAACTAAACTGGGATAAACACCAATTTTTATGAGATTGTATTAAAATAAAAGCTTTTTAAACAATTGAAACAAAAGTACATATGCAGAACACAGCTACACGATACCTCCTCCATGGTTTCCTCTATCTGAACAGGAATAGGTTTTGGAGATCGAAGACCTTTAGGAACAAACGCTGGAGCTTTGTTTACTTCTTCTGGTGCAAAGCACTCATCTTCATCATCAGGCTCAAAGTCATCTGCGTCCTCCTCCTCCTCCTCTTCTTGAGAAGCCCGGAGGGTCACCAAGGTTATCTTTGAACTTTTGTGCTCCTTCCCAGATTTCTTTCTATGTACAGTTTTCAAACTTTTGCCTCTAGTAACACTCAATTTAACTTCTTGCCTTTGATTCCCCTTCTCACTGCAATCAGCCTCACACTCAGAGGAAGAAGAGGCAGCAGTTCTTAGCTCAGAGATATGTTTTGGCAGCACTATCTGCTTTGACGGCCTCCTGGACTGCCTTCTAAAGTAAAGGACAAAAGCATGTTTAAAAAACAACGAAGTCCAACACATTCCAAACAAAGGGGTACTACAAATAAAAAAAACAACTCAATGAATAAAAAGGGATCACTGTGACCAATACAATCCATTTACTTCCTAATGTAAATGACAAAAATGCATTCACATACCATTTAATCAGAATTCCTAATTTCTTCATGTATGCAAAAAATACTGATTGTCAATCCGTATTAAGCAGTTTCAGAGCTTTGGAAAGCTGCACAATTAAATTTACAAGATACGTAATTCTTTGACTAGAAAAGCATGAATTCATTTTCATTTTGAGGGATGTGTAAGTCAAATGCTTTTTATCTCATGCAAACGTTTCCAGTTCTCTTTTGCTAAAGCTGTTATTAGGAGCCCCAAACTGTCACATTTCAGTTGATCAGACTAATGTCTAGAAAAAAGAACTGTTAGATAACTAATTATCTGCTCCAGTTTCTCAGACAGCAATCTCTTTCCTCATCAGTTGCTGTTTCCCTCCTCCAAATGATGGGCACCACCACTTTGAGTACCAAAAGTAATTCCAAACGTCCCTCAAAACAACATCCTCCTTTGTAAACTGTTGTGGAGAGGAAACAAATAGCAGCAGAGGACATTTACACAGACTTTGTTTAGACTAATCCCACAGTCCCTGTGCCCCCAATACTAGTACTACAATGTCTTCCCCTTTAAAATCAGTAATTCCTGTTGAAACCACAGGTGAACCTGGGATGGGCTAGCAGGAGTGTTCTCTGAGTCCATTTTATAAAAGTGCAGGCAGGGTAAGAGAGAGAAATCTGCATGCATTTGGTAGACCTCAGATGAAAGACAATGACTGACATTCTGCAGGCACTCATGTAACACCATGCAAAATAATGTCTAATAATTACATTTTGAAAACGAAAGCTAAAACTACTAAATTGAGCTTACAAGCAAAAAACAGTTGTTTTACCTTGTGAGAGTGTCTGATTTTTTTTCTCTTGAGGCAGAAAGCTGAGAATATTCTTGTTCTACTTGACTCTCACTCTCTGATGATATCTTTGGAGACTGGAGTCTACTATCCTGCCTCATTCTCTTACAAGATGCTTCCCCAGCAGAGTCTGTAAAATTGTGTTTTCTTGTAGTCTCTGAGAAGGATGCAGCTTCCACTACGTTACTAGATTTTAGCTGAATGGAGGAGACAATTACTGCCATATTAAGTGCCAAACTTTTTAAACTGTTTTTGAGGCCAAAAAGATTAAAACAAATAAATTCAAGGTTCTTAAAAACATGTTTAAGCTGTCATCTTTGACATCTTAGGACATTTTTCCCCATTTTCTAAAATTCTGGGCTCTACAGCAGAAGCATCATTAGATGGCATTATGTATAATGCCACTGCTGTGGTTTGCTAACAGATCAAGGACATGCTCAGCTTATTAAGAGCAGCAACTCTTCAGAAGCTGGAAAGAAGAGTAATTTTCTAAAACTACCTATTAAAGAAAAATCCAAAGGAAAGAAAAAGTATTTTCTGCCCTAGGAACAAATTAGGAAGAAGAAATTACAAGTTTACAGAATGGCATTTAAATATTAATCAAAACACACACAGAAACATATCCCAGGATATAAAAACCATCAGCAAGCACAGTTCTGCCAATTATGGCTACTGGGCTAAAATATTATGTTAACCGTAAGATTTTAGTCATCCATCTAGAAAATAAGGAACACCAGATAAACCTGACTGCATTAAGGAACTGATCTGGCTAGGTTAGACCTGTTGAGCAAATTTAAGCAAACGAAGATCTAAACTTTGTTCACATACACTTCAACTTGTAAATATACCTATATGGATTTCAGGCAGTATCTGATGTTAAACAGCTGCCTTAATTTCCATTGTTCAATTAATAACAGATATTAAATTAACTGGTAACAGTGTGGGCATGTATTTATGATAATGCAGACTTCTGACTATATGAACTGTAAAACTGAGGACAACAGCATACATTAAATGTTTCCACAGTTTTCCAGATTCTAAGTTCATTTATTCAGCATCATTTCCAACAATGAATTAAAAACAAACAAAAAAAAAAAAGAATAAAAGGATCACATTAAACTTCTGCAGTCAAACACTGGATTTCTGCACCGCCTATGGTTCTTAGAACTTAAAACACAAGAACTGAGAGATAAATTGGCTCAAAACACAAGATCAACACTTACCACTGGCACACTTGGTTCTTCTAACACCAAACACTCTTCTGCATTTCTGTTATCAGAGTTGTCCTCTTCTCTGTTTTCACTTTCTTCAGGATAAACCCTTTTTCTAGTAACACTCATTAGGTTTGGCCTTGAGCACCAACAGGATTCATTCACTTGACACAACGGTTTTGCATCACTCTGTTTACTTGCTTCTCCAGAACTTAGCTTACTGTTGGACCTATAAAAATATTTTTCAAATACTACTTCTCACACACTACAAAACATACACTCTACAAGCTTGGCTTGCTACCAAATATTAGTACTTCCACCTAAAAATGTACTCGGGTTCATTTTTGCAACTTTGATTTGTTTAGTTGGTGAAGAAAAAAAAAGGGGGGAAGAAAAAAAACAATGTGAAAAGCAGATAACTTGATTTTCTACAGTACTGGGCCTTTCTGATTATTTTTGGAAAATCCTTTTTGAAGCAAAACAACATTAAGAAGTTGTACTACTGCTTTTAAACAGGATTAAATTCTTACATCTGCTCAAGCACATTCAGATCAGCAAGACAGAAATCTTGGGCTTTTAAACTCTCATCTCAGGAAAGGGCAAGCAGGAGGATTCAGGTAACTACAGATCAGTCCCTGGGAAAGGGATGGAACAACTAATCCTGGAAATCACTTTCAGACACACAAAACCCAAGAAGGTCACTTAAGAATAGTCATCATGGATTTACAATGGGGAAAACATGCTTAAGCAACCTGATAACCTTTAATGATTAAATGACTGGCTCAATAGATGAAGGAAGAGAACTGCTACCAATAGTTATAATGGGAAATAACAAGAGGAGAGAATATATAACTGAAAGGGGAAAAAAATAACCAGCAGTGGTGGTGAGCAGTACAATTGCTCACTACCCACTGACTGATACCCAGCCCCATCCAAGCAGCAATCAGTTTATATACTGGGCATGACATGCTGTGGTATGGAATACCCCTTTGGCTACTTTGGGTCAGGTGTCTCTGCTTCCTCCTGGCTTTTTGTGCCTCTCCTCACTGGCAGAGCATGAGATACTGGGAAGTCCTTGATTGGAATAAGCACTACTTAGCAACAACTAGAAACATTGGTGTTACCAGCCTTGTTGTCAGGCTAAACTAAAAAACACAGCACTGCACCAGCTACTAAGAAGGAGTGAAGTAACTCCTGCAGCTGAACCCAGGACAGGGACATGAAGAAATATGGGCTGGATGCATCCCATTCTGGGCAGCAGCAGACAAGGAGGTGCACTGAAACTGATCGAATGGCCAGTCTTAGAGGTTTGTGATCAGTGGCCCACAGGCTAATTGGAGACTAGTAACTAAGGGTGTACCCTATGGGTCAATGCTGCGTCCAATCCCAATCCTGTTTAATATCTTCATTAATGATATAATTGATGGGGCAGAGCATACCCCCAACAAATTTGCAGATAACACAGAACTGGGAGTAGTTGCTGATATACCAGAAAGTTGTGCTGCCATCCAGGACCTGGAGAGGCTGGAGAAATGGGCTGACAGGAATCTCTTGTATTTCAACAAGACGTGCAAAGTCTGCACCTGGGGAGGAACAACCCCAGGCACCAGGACATGCTGGGGGCCACCCAGATGAAAAGCAGCAGGGTAGAGAAGAAACCTAGGAGCCCAGGTGCACACCAAATTGAACATGAGCCAATAATGTGCCCTGGTTACAAAGACTAATGGTATCCTGGGCTGCACTAGGAGAAGCACTGCCAGCAGACTGAGGGAGATGATCCTTACCCCACATCAGTGCTGGTGAGGCGACATCTGCACTACTTTGACCAGTTCTAGGCTCCCTGGTATGAGACATGGAAATACTAGAGATGACCTGTCGAAGGGCCATAAAGATGCTGAAGGGCCTGAAGCATCTCTCCTGTGATGAAAAACTGAAAGAGTGGGGACAGTTCAGCCTGGAGATGGAGAAAGCTCAGGGGGATCTCTTCAATAGCTATATAAAAACCTAAATGGAGGGTGCAGAGAGGACAGAGCTGGGCTCTTTCAGTGGTGCCCAGTGACAGGATCAGAGGCAACAGGCACAAACTGAAACACAAGAGGATCCTTCTGAACATCAGAAAATACCCTTCCACTGTAATTGAGCACTGCACAGTTACCCAGAGAGGCTGTGGAGTCTCCATCTTTGGCAATAATCAAAAGGCATCTGGGCAGGGTATTGAGCAGCCAGCTGTAGGTGGCCCTGTGCGAGCAAGTAATGTCTGGAGGACACTTCCAACCTCAACCACTCTGTGAAATTCTGCCATCACAGGAGTCATAAGGATTGTACGTCAAGGCCCTTTTCTTGTTAGCACAAAGACTCTTGGATATAATTTCAATGCAAGTTATGGAAGAGATTTTACACAGAGGCTCAGAGACAGATGGAAACGGGAAGCTGATTTCAGAAAATAGCAAAAGTAAATTGAGTTGAAGATGCTCTGTATCTGTTAAGATTGAACAAGACATAGCTTACAACATAATCCAGAACTGTTACATCTAAATGGCACTATTTGCCTCATATTGCATGTACATAAAAAGTATCCCCTTGACCAAAGAACCAGGACACTGCACATTGTTGCATGAATTTCTCCTGCTGGAAAGATAAAGTGAAAACTTCTAATACATCTTAAACAGCAAGCCTATTTCATGTTATTCTACCTACCACTTGGCAATTGAAATGACTGCAAAACGTACTGCTCAGTCTTTCTTTCAACAGTCCACATCTCTAGTGCATTGTACCCTAAGAACTGTACCCTGTCTGAGAAATCCAGGCAGCTAAACTATGATTATTTGTCTCTATGCTCTCCTGCAAAGTACCTTCTAAAAAGGAAAACCACCTTGAGAAGTCTGTTAAAAACTCTTGTATTACCTAAGGATGCCACCTAGTGACCTTCACGGTGTGTCTAGTGCAGCTCAGAATCTAAGACTTCAAAAAGCAAATGCTGAGTGAAAACAACTGGACAAATAAAAAAAGCTATTTAACAACTTTGTGTATTTTGCCAACAAGAAACTTTACCTTTCTGAGGTATCCTGAATGTATCTTGTATCTTCAGATAGCTGTTGTTCTGCCTTATTGTGGCAGTTAGGTGGCATTTTAGAGGAACAGAGTGTTTCTGACTTTCTGTTTTTAAGATTTATGTCTAGATTGCCATCCTTGGCCAAACTCCCCACAGACAGCAGTACTTCCATGTCATCCTTTGAGTTGAGGGGGAAGGAAACAAACAAATAAACAAAAAAAAAGACCCCAGAATTAGCACAATATATTTCACCTGTAAAATAAAGCATTGCAAGTTATGATCAAGACCTCAACCTGAGCGAAAATTTCACTTTAAAACTTCCATGAGCAACAACCAAGGAGTTCAGAAGAAAACCAGCAACAGAAATATGACATGCAGGTCATGTATCATGAACATGACTGGAATTTCAAATTTTAAGTGAGATCTTTCAGATTTGGTAACAGAAATACACATATTACCAATGTGTTACTAACAGAATTTTAAAATTTTAATATAATAATATAAAATATAATTTTAATTTAAAACTTCATATTAGAATGCAAATACTAAACAAGCATGTATTCTTAGTAGTCCGAAATGGATTTATGCACTTTGTTTATTCGGATGTCCTACAAACAGCTGGTGCAGAACCAATCATCAGAAAGCATAGTCAGAAATATCTGAAAGGATTCTCACTTTTGAGGAAGGAGGTTCCTCAGATTCTTCTGCCACAAGCAGATTCTCTCCTTTATTTTCTTCTTCTTCAACTGGAGCAGCAAGTGTTTTTGTCACCGGAGATTCTTTTTCCCTATAAGCTCTTATTAGGTTCGGTCTAATTCTTGTAAATGTTTTCCTTATGAACTGTACTGATCCCAGAGCACTCAGCTTGCCTTCTTGGGAAGTGGATTTTTCAGCACTAGTGAATTTAAAGCAAATAAACAAACCAAACAAATTATGTCACTTGACTTCGGTTGAGAGAGTACAAAACCAATTCTGAACTGATTAAGTTTGAATCAACAGTTATACAAAAGGGTTAGAGACTGATACACTGTTTTGTTTAAAATTGAGACAATTATCTTTTCAAATGCATACTTATTATTTTGGGCATTTATCATTAACATGCAAGGATGAATAAAAGGATTTATTTGCCAAGGCATTTTTAATAAAGCAAAAAGTTGTGTTGCTAACCATACCAACATTAAAGTATCTGCAGCCTAATAAATGCTTAAGAGATTATTTTAACAAGCAGTAAAATAGAAGAGCATATTGAAATCAACAAAAGACACATCTCTCACATTTTGCACAGTTTCTACGTGTTTCATGTAGAATTGCTGTACATGCAAATACAAACTAAATGAAAGACAAGCATGGTCGAAAAGAGCTATGAGCTCATGCAGATCAACTATGTACCAGATAATGACAAATAGCTCAGCTCAGCTAGAAACGTGCTCTGAAAGCATAGGAAGACGCTGTCTATAGGTGCTGAAAATTAAATGCTGGGCAAAGACAGATAACAAGGAACAAAAGAACTGACATAGGCAAAGGTATCTCACGCACCGGATACAGGTTTTTCAAATGCAGTTTTGCTAAACTCTAGCCTCACCTGTTTTGTTCACACAGTGTGTTTCCAGAAATACAGGGCACCTGAGGTACCTCTTCCTGTTTCTGTTCCTCTTCGCTCAATGTATCTGCTTGACACAATACAGCTTCATTTTTACCCTTTAATTTGCAATTAGGAAAAAAAAAAAAAAAAAGCATGAAGGAAAAGACAATCAAGCAAGTTACTAAACCAAACTTGTATAAAAACATACAAACTACAGATCTCTGTGCTGTTTTACCAATCTGAATCAAAAAAGAATCACATTTTATTTATTGAGGGTAATCTGCCTAAGCACATATTTCAATTTACAAAGAACAGAAGTCTTAGTCATGGGCTGCCTCGAATTAGGCTCTTAAATGCTATATGCACCCAAGCATTATGGGTTCTATTTAGCACAGCTCTATTTAGCGTTCAATCAACTCTATGGAAACAAAACACTTTGGCAAATGGAAAAAGCTTTTGAAAATGGACACTGCAGAGAACAGCACAGACACATGCAAGCCACTATAACCTCATGTTCACAAGGCTTTATTACTTTTATTTCTGTATCTGCCACACTAATTCCACAAATAAGTCACTCAAACACGTCCCTCAGCACTTAAGGTCCATAACAGCTTTAATAGTACTGAAGAGCATCAGACCTGCTGCAGTTCTACAGATTTCCATAGCACAGAGCAAATGTACATGCATGGTCCACAGGTCTAGAATAGCCAAAGCTGAACTGCAAACTACCTCAGCTAGGGGTTAGCTGACACTGAGGCACTAAGAGGTAAATTACAGATGCAGTACACTTGCACTCCTCTCTGAGAACACAGCACATAAGTACTCCAAGCTAGGTCTACACAGGTGCAAGAACAAAACAGCTATAACCACTCAAAACAGAAAAAAAAAGGAGTCACTCTTAGAAAGCTTAGTTATGTTTGAGATCTAAAGCAAGTTTATGCAGCCATGCCTACACCCCAGCATGATTCATGAGCAAACCACAAAAGGGTTACAGAGATTTTATCATACCAGCATGGCTTTCAAGGATTTCAGTACCTTTCACAGTGCCTAGTAAAGTGTAAGGATGCTGGGTAGGGACTCTTTGTTAGGGACTGTAGTGACAGGACAAGGGGTAATGGGTTATAACTTAAACAGAGGAAGTTTAGATTGGATATAAAGAGGAAGTTCTTTACTGTAAGGGTGGTGAGGCACTGGAATGGGCTGCCCAAGGAAGTTGTGAGTGCTCCATCCCTGGTGGTGTTCAAGGCCAGGTTGGACAGAGCCTTGGGTGACATGGTTTAGTGTGAGGTGGCAGGGGGGGCAGGACCTTGATGATCTTAAAAGGTTCTTTCCAACCCTAACTATTCTATGATTCTGTGAATATAAAACACATTTTTATTCTAGTATTTACGTTAAATGTGGCGTACTCCTTTTTCTATATAATGCAATCCAATCAAAATCAGATCTTCACATTAAAGAAAACAATAATAGCATTTGTAGACTTCTCTGATTTCATCATATTGGATGGCTTTCAAGGATTAATACAGTGCCTTTCACAGTGCTTAGTAAAGTGTCTGTTGAGGTACCTGCAATACCTCAACATACCAGAGTTTGGGGATTTTTTTTCATCTATTATAGTGTCTCAGCTTCAGGGAATAAGATATTCTAATGTAACTTCATAAAAATGGAACATGCAACTCAGAACAGAAAGCACTTAAGACTTACAATAAGATCATTGGCAGACTCATCTTCTTGCAATACTGACTGTTCTGCTTCAGGATTTTTCTCAATCTTCTTTTCTGATATTTGCAATTCCTTCCTTACAACAGCTCTTACCAAGTTTGGCTTGTACCTCTGGAATCGGCGCCGTACTAACTGGGCAGGTTGAAGAGGTGTTTGTTTACATTCTCCAGTGCTACTTTTGCTACCAGTGCAAAGTCAACCAGAAAAAAATAATAATCCGCAACTTAATTCAAAAGCACATTATTAATAAACACAGGTTCATTATACATAAATATAAAAAACAACTGAATATTTAAAAGAAACCATGTAAAAGTAAAGTTCTGCTAAGTTCAAGTTACAAACACAAAACTTGGTTTCACCATATACTTCTGTCCTGGGTTCAGCTGTAGCAGCTGTTTTTCCCCTTCTTAGTAGCTGCTGCAATGCTGTGGTTTTTTACTTTAGTCTGAGAACACTGCTGATAACACACCAATGGTCTTAGCTGTTGCCCTGTAGTGTTTACTCTGATCAAGGACTTTTCATTATATGCTCTGCTAGTGAGGAGCACAGGAAGCCAGGAGGAAGCATGGACAGGACACCTTACCCAAACTAGCCAAAGGGGTATTCCATACCACAGCACTTCATGCCCAGTATATAAACTGGGGGGAGCTACCTGGAAGGGCAGATCACTGCTCAGGTTGGGCTGGGTATCTGTCAGCATGTGGTGAGCAATTGTATTGTGCAGCACTTGTGTTTATTGTTTTCCTTTCCCCTTTTAGTTCTAGATTCTCCCCCCTTGTTATTTCCTTTACCATTATTATTACTGGTGGTAGCAGTAGTGGTTTGTGTTATACCTTAGTTACTGGACTGTTGTTCTTATCTCAACCCATGGGAGTTAACTTCTTTCAATTCTCCTCCCCATCCCTCCAGAAGCCAGGGGAGAAGAAAGTGGTGCGGAGTGAGCGAGCAGGTGTATGGTGCTAAATTACCTGCTGGGCTTAAACCGTGACAATTTCAAAACACTGGTCTCCTATCTACTTTCACAACAGAATTAATTAACTTAGTGGAGGCATTAACTTACTGTTTGCCTGCTACTATAAAGCCAAAGTGATTTTCACATGGTTTCTCTCATACAAAACTAGTGCTCCTCCTGTTTACCTGAAATCAATTTAGTGTTTCAGATGATAAAACAGCTGTAAAATGAATGCTCACTAATTTAATGTTTAATATAGAAGTAACTGGAATTTTAGTATCACTAGTGTCAAATCTATGAGAACTAAGCTTTCATTCAGTATTTTTATTAGATTTTCTTTGCCAGTTGGCAATCCATTGGCACAATTTCCTTTTAAAATACTTTAATTGTGTAAGTTAAGAAACAAAAGTAGCTAAGCCCTTACTCTGCTTTAGTGGCTGAGGTGTCATCTTGGCTAATTTGGGGTAGACAAGACATGAGTTCACAGTCCTCTGATCTTGAAATTTTCTCTGGGGACTTACAGCTTGGGCTCTCAGAAACCTCATGAGAGCCAACAGACTTCTCCTTTCCCAAGAGTTCCAATGGTCGCAGGACTTGATGTTTCCCTGCATTCTGAAAAAAAGTAAACACAAGAACCAGGGAAAAGTTATGATACTAAACCAAAAGGAGACATTATGATATCCACAAAGTCCAGTACTCCCTGAAGTGTTCCCTGGAAAAAACCCTTTAACTTTTCACTAATAATTTCCTAGTCTTTCCAGGACAAACACAGATTTGTTTATTTAAAACAAAACAGATTGAAATCTAGATTTCTTCTTTGCCATGTTCTATTAACTTTTCTTTCTTCCCTGTCAACTCTACAAGGCCACCTCAAGTTAGAAAGACATTTGGACACATAACAAGAGATATAGAATGGATGTAATCTTTTTCTCCTCACACACAACCAAGTAGAAGGTATAGCTTTCCTGTGGAAAAATTTAGCTTTTGAAAAAATTGATTCAAGAAATAGTAACTTTATATTGCTCAAATCATCAGTATTTAATTTCACAAACCCAAAAGTTCAAACATAACTAAAAAAGGGGGAAAAAAAGAAAGAAGTGCCTTACATCTGTATCAGGAAGGATGCTACATTCACTGTCACACTGTGTCAAACTTCCTTCCATGCAGGTATCTTCCTGTGATATACCTGTATTATTTACATCCAGCACTTTCTTTCTACTAGTTGCCATATTTAAATTTGGCTTTGGTCTCTGGAATCGACTCTTTAGTAACTGAACTGATGATACAACAGTCTTCTCCTCTTCCTTCTGAAGACTAGACTCCCTACAAAAACAAACAGAACAGCTGAAGGAACAGGACAACAGTGGTTCTCCAAGTCATGAATTACATACTTGTGTGTATTTCTCTTCAATACAGAAGCAAAGTATAAAAAATGTTGTTTCTTAAAGGAACAGTAAAGTTAATTATATTGTGAAAAAAGATCCAATAAAAGTACTTCAAACACCATTAAAAACCTGTGTCTCTTACAAACAGGTGAGCAAAGGTAAGTTAAAAAAAATGCCATTTCAGAACAAGCTGCATGCATGATTTGACAGTATAAACATTTTAAAAATTACTTTGTCTAATCATGTTTAAAACTTAGCAGTAGATTTACAGCACAGTTCTGGATTTTATTTTGGGCTTTTTTTAAAGGGCAATTTAATAAAAAGCCAAACCTTTCACATAAACACATAGTGATGCACTGCTAGGACCAACATGGAGAAGTTAACTACAGGAACCGAACATCAGGCTCACAGTGCAAAGACCAAATTAATGTCCAAGGGCATACATATTCAGTGCTTTTGAGCTCTTGGGGGTTTGTTTGTTTAAGTTTAGTATTGTCTTGATTAAACATCACATTATAGATATAGAACTTGTTTTAATGCTGAAGTTGAGAATACCTAGGGATATCAGTGGTTTATGAACCACTTCTCTCCATTTAAAAAATAAACTTACCTTGTATTGGAATCTGGAACCTGTTTCAAGGTATCTGACAGTCGCTTTTCACTTTCACAGCTTTCTGCTTCAGAGGACTTTTCCTGTATTGAGTTCATCTCAGAATCTGTAGGCACATCCCCATCTAACATCGCACTGCCTGGCTGAGTGTCTTTATGAACTGTCACATCCTAAAAGGAGAAAGTTTCACTGGAAGATTGAAAGAGTTAAACAACCTCTCTTTTAGAAGAGCAAGTAGAAATAAAAAAGCTTATTTTAGTATCTCTTACAAAAACACTCTTGTGTCTCTCGCTTCCTGTGCATCCAATTAGACATTTTAAAAGTAAAAATTTGTTAATTTCCTATTAACTTTCTACTGAAGTGGTCTCTTTCCCAAGAGCGCTCTTTTCTCTGAACTTCTCTTTTCAGATCTGGTATCACAAATACAACCAACTGAAGTATAATCCATCTGTCCATGTAAAATAGAACCCAAATGCAATCATGAAGGAATTTTATGGCAATTCAGTTTATTCTGAAAGGATAAACAAAGCATGATGGGTCTCTGCTTACAAATTGTGTGGTATGTACCCAGATCTTTGATACTAAAGGCTTCTGCCTATCAAAACAGTGCGTCTAAGCAACAGCTCAGGAAACTTACATTTTCAAGGCATGGATCATTGTTTTCATCTTTATGGTGTATCACACCTTTTTCTAGTTCTCCACTTTCAGTTTTCTCGTCTTCTGGAGCTTTTTCAGCTGTCAGGTCTTTTTGTCTTGCAACACGTGTTCCCAGATTTGGTTTTGGTCTTTGCAATTTGCCTCTCTTTAGAGGTGGTGGTTTCAGCACACTCTGTTTGCTGTCTTGTTGTAAACCAGCTGTTCCATTAGATCTGGAAAAATATGTTAGATCCATAATTACATACCACATATTGAAGTGAAAGAAGCCTTGGAGAAGTGGGTGGGGTTTTTTTTTTCGTTTTGGGTTTTTTTGTTTGGTTTTTTTTTTTTTTTTGTTTGTTTGTTTTTAATCTAAAACAGAGCTATACATTATCAACTTCATGAAACAATAAATTTAGAAGTGTATCTGCTAGAGGCTGAAAAAGTACCTGACAACTTTAAACTTATTTTTGCCCTGTTCTTTGGCTTTTCCCATTGGAGCCAGGATACCACACTAGACAGCCCTTTTTCTGACATAATGGCTCTTCTTGTATTCCTATCTAGTCTAGAGACAGATGGACCTAATTTAATGAAGGGTTAAAAGAAAATCACAAACATTCAGAAAATACATATATAAATTCATAATCTTACTAATCTAAAAATATCGGACACACACTAGCCTCTTTTTAATCCCTTTCAAAACAGTCTCTCCTGTGAAACATTTCTCCTGTTACACTACAGCTGCCACTTCTCCATGGAAAAGAAATCTAAGAAACACTTCCTAGCATGTGCATGAAAATGCCCATATGTTGAAATTTTTCCTATGTTTTATGCTTCGAGTGCTTAGCCACTGAAACTGACACTTCTCAGTATTGAAGCTAGTAGAGAAGACTTGTTTTAGCTTTCAAGGGACTTTTTTCTGCATTTATCATGATTGACACCTCAGTTAAAAGCTACTCTTTAAAAACAAACCAAAAAATATTTAATTATTTGTTTATCATGCATTAAAAAAATTTTCATTCTTCCCTCAATTTGTGTTTTATTGCTGAAGTTTCTTCAGAAACTTCTCTACAATAGTATGTAATACTTCCAGAAGTGAAATGGATGGCAAATTGCTGGAGAGTAGCATGTCTTCTCCTTTTTCACATACTTACTGAGGCACTGTCTCCAGGATTTTATCACCTTTTTCTGCAGCTTCTTCACTGGTAGCATCAGACCTATCACTCTGGTCAGTGCTCTAAATACAAATATAACATTAAGACGTTAACTTTATTACATTTGTAAAGTACAGCATTACCTAACAGACCAGGTAACTGTGACAGGATACAGAGTGGACTGCTTGTGGCAAACACAGTTACAGGGGTACATTTCACATAGTCAGAAAGGTTTAGTAAAATCTGTATCAAACTAAAGCTGCATTTGCTGCAGGACCTGAAAGGTTATTGGTATCTACTGTTTGTGTGACAAGCTACAGCTTAGCTGAGGCCTCTAAACAGTACCATGCTGTCAATGCAGGTTAATAAGTGGCTGATTCCTGGTCATACTCAGGGGAAACAAAAAGAAATTAAAAATATAACATTGCTGGTTTATCTACCAGCTTTTTAGCTAACACATTATCTCCAGCTAACTTGCACTACTAAATACCTTTTCCGTTTCCTCCTTAGGCTGTAGATGAGACACTGACTCATTTCCTGCATCTTTTTCAGGCTCTTCTTTCTTTCCAGATGCTCTTGTAATATTAGGCTTAAATCTCTGTCGACACCCTCCAACTACTGCCTTTGCAATTACATTTTTTTCAGGTTCTCTGCACGAAGGATCCACAACAGTGACAGTTACGCCATAATATTCAAGCCTATGTAATATTCAATGACTTGCACAGCTTTCTTTAGTGTAACTGGGTGTCTTTGGAAGGATTTGCACAAACTTATTCAAATCTCCTCAAAAGAGAAACAAACTTTCTTTAGTCTTACAGAGCGTGGAAACTCAGTTTATTTACCTATTAAAAAAAATACAAAGTTATCACACAGGGGAGGAATCTAACTAGGCTGCATACCGTAGGTGTTTTTGCAAGTGTCAGAAGCAGAGCTATTATCTGGCAACTGAGGCTGGGAGGAAGGCTAAGGCATAGTTATCACTTCTTTCTCTACACCCTCCCAAATTCCAAGCACAGCTGGTACTTTGTAAAGTAATGATTTCCTCAACTTCCAAAAAAAATAAGCACAAGCCTTCTACCACAGTACCACTCGATACCACCCAACAAAATTCTGACGTCAAATTTCAGACTTATATTAAAACTTCACAATTATTGTTGCCTTTTTGTAAAAGCACTAAGTAGAATAAATCAACAATTATGGTCAGTTCATTGTGGAAGGCTGGAAAAGCGATCTCAATACTTACTCAGACTTAGTACCCAAAGCCATGCTCTCTACTTCTGTGGCTTCATTTCTGTTTCCTCTACTGTCTTCCTCAGAGCACTGGAATTGAGGCAAGGAATATTACTCTTGGACAAGTGTACAGATGCTTCAGAAGCAGTTCTCAGGATACTACTTATTAGACTGTAACCGGTCCACAGTACCAGCACTGACAAAAACAGATACAGCATCAAGAGCATAGCATATTAAGAAATGTTGCTCCTTCTGACCTTTTCATCAGTATTCACAAGGTTTGAAGAGGAAGTCTTGGCCTCCATTTTCTTCTGTGTTGCTGCTTCTCTCCTTACAGATGATCTCACTAAATTGGGTTTAGGTCTTTGCAAGCACCTTATGCCTGCTAGCATTTCAGTTTTCCTTATAATATGAAAAGAGGTGATACATATTATTACCAAACAGAAGCTTGAAGTTTTATATGATCCAAGACGTACTTCAAGAACACCACAGACTGTATGGATAATGCAGCAATAACCTTAAAGCAATTACATTACATCTTTCTGGTATTAGAAGATATGCTACTGCTTAATGCAAAGACTGTCAAATAAACTCTGCTGGCTTTCAGTGGAATCTACTTTAAAATACTTGAAGGAAGCTTTACTACCGTTTTTACAGAGAGGCTAGTTTTTTTCTAAGCTTACTTAAGTTCTCCTTCTCATTCCCACATAAAATTTTAAATATTGCTCAAAGCATTGCTACTCAAAAATTATCATGATCTACCATCTAGTCCAGCATACTATGGTCAATTAGAACTGTATCCAAATTAAGCAAATGCAGGTTAAGCTCAAGTAAGTTCCAGGAAAAATGATTTTACCTACATGATTTCAGATTGAGAATGGCTTTCTGATGTACTCTGCTTTTCATCTGGTCTATGTAAGTCGTACACATCTTTGTTCTGAATAAAAAAAAATAATAATACAGAAAGGAACTGATAAATGTAGGCTCTTTTCTGTAATGTGAAAAAAAAAAAGCAGACACAAGAACAAGATTCACAAAATGGTTGAGGTCTGCAGGGTCCTCTGGACATTACTTGCTCGCACAGGGCCACCTACAGCTGCCTGCTCAATACCCTGCCCAGATGCCTTTTGATTATTGCCAAAGACGGAGACTCCACAGCCTCTCTGGGTAACTGTGCAGTGCTCAATTACAGTGGAAGGGTATTTTCTGATGTTCAGAAGGATCCTCTTGTGTTTCAGTTTGTGCCTGTTGCCTCTGGTCCTGTCACTGGGCACCACTGAAAGAGCCCAGCTCTGTCCTCTCTGCACCCATTTAGGTTTTTATATAGCTATTGAAGAGATCCCCCTGAGCTTTCTCCATCTCCAGGCTGAATTATCCCCACTCTTTCAGCCTTTCACCACAGGAGAGATGACATTAGTCTTCTTTGCAGGCACGACACATTGCTGGCTCATGTTCAATTTGGCGTGCACCTGGGCTCCCAGGTTTCTTCTCTACCCTGCTGCTTTTCATCTGGGTGGCCCCCAGCATGTCCTAGTGCCTGGGGCTGTTCCTCCCCAGGTGCAGGACTTTGTGCTTCTCCTTGTTAAACTTCATGAGATTCCTGTCAGCCCATTGCTCCAGCCTCTCCTGGTCCTTCTGGATGGCAGCACAACTTTCTGGTGTATCGGCAACTATTCCCAGTTCTGTTTAATCTGCAAATTTGCTGGGGGTATGCCCTGTTTCATCATCCAGATCATGAGAGATGAGTATGTGGCATTATAAACAAAAACAGCTTGGAAAAGATAATCAGGAACACCATAAACATGAACAGAAATGGCACAACGAAAGTACAGTTCTCATCAAACTACAAGCCATCATCTTAAAACGATCTGAAGAATACACTTTCTAAATTAAGTAAATAATTAAAGGAATGAACTCTAGCATTCAATTCACCACAAAGGTACAGATTTATGCAGTAAAGCAGTTAGACAAACTCACAAGCAGGAGGTGCATCAAGGACTTGAAAAGATGCCAGACACAATTTCAGAAGGTTCCTAAACTGTTGGGACCTGATTAGACTGTACTCAAAGAAAGATCGTTCATTCTTGGTCTGGTTTCCTAGATCTTTTCTGAAACACCTCAAGGCAGTGAGTACCAGAGGACAAGGGTTTACACAGGTTTCCATCCTGAGGCAGCATGAAAACTCAGCTGCTCAATCTTTCAGTTCGCAACCCTGTGCTAGTAAGCGTAAGCCAAAACTTTCTCTGAAGTTTTACTGTAGATATTACATTGCTTCACTTGTGAATAATTAAACTATTCAGCTGTTTAAATTGTCTATGAGATAAGGCAAGCATGCACAGATACTCTCTGAATAATTGTAGTGCAACAGATAACCCAGTAAAGCCAACCAAATTGGTAGCATTTAAATTCTGGTGCTGTTCTCAGACTTGTTGCCTTTTTTCTCACCTAGTGGTAAAATCATCACAAAACCAGTCAAAAAAAAAAAAAGCTTTGATTTACAAAAACACTTTAATGGTTGAGACAAACTGCTTAAGAAGTAAGAACTACATTTAAAAAAAAAGTATATATATATACCTTTGTTTCCCTAGTTTCTTCAGATTGTCCTTCTTTGCTTCTGATCTTTGAAACTGGTAAGTCTGAAATCTGGCTTTCCTGTGATACATCACCCCTAGTATCTAGGGTTCTCAGTTTAGCAGGTTCCATTTCTAGTGTAACATCATTGCTATCTTCAGAGCTGAAGTCAGTAAAAGCACACAAAACCATATTAGTGTATTTTAATTTAAAAAGTGTTATTCTTTACAGATCGGTCAGGTTGCATAAAAATTACACAAATTTGACATTAATAACATGTTTCAGAATATCTGCGAAGTTTTTGTGATATCTGCAGGATATGAGCTTTAAAGTAACTTTTGTAGTACTATTACAAGATGTTAAAATCCCATCTGATTATTAGAACAGACTTTAATATAAACTGTATGCAGAAACTTTTTTTTCTCATTTTCTGTAACAATCTATATTGAGTTCAAAGACATCTGCTCCTTCAAATGATTCCAATCAAGTATTAAAGCACATAAAATTTTCTGTGAATCTGAATGAAATAACAGTACAACATAGCTAAATACAACTGACACATTAAATTCTGAAGCAGCAGTAACAGCTTCATAATGACTTTAGATTTACCACTTCCTATTATATAATAAGCTTAATAAACATTCAACAAGTGTATAAACATTACTCCTTCTAGTAAGAGAACATCCAAAACTGAAACCAAAAGCTTGCTCCGCCCTCCCCCCCCCCCCCCAGCTCTGCACTAATAAAATCCAAGCAACATACTTTTCCTACAAGAGCCATGTTATTATAAACAGACATAAATTCCAAGTGTATAGCAATAGTACTTAGCAACATTACCAAGGAGCACTTTGAAAGAAATATTAGGAGTTAGGATAAGCTAATACCCTCCATGAACACGCAAAAAAGTGAATCAGCTTTGGATGGGATTTTAGTATTAACGTAAATCAATTTTACAAGGGCAGCCCATGAGGGGACATTGAGAGTGTAAAGTAAAAACAGTTTACAAAACCCCAAGAATAGTCCTCAAAAACAAAAAAACCCTGCCCATTCTGTGCCAGTTAAATGATGATAAGCATGAATAAAATCAATATTAGAACTCTGAATTATTCTTATTTTGCCTAAGCTTTTAAGATTTTAAAACATTCCCTAAGATTTTAAACATTACCTGCATAAGTTGACGTCACCTTCTCTCTCCATTATGTTATCCACTGGTAAACAGGACTCTGATCCCTCTTCCTCTGCAACAGCAGTCTCATCTTGTTTTCCTTCCGTAAGATTGTTCAGTTCTTCTCTACAGGTAGTATGATCATCTTTGTTTGCATCACATACCACACTTTTTTCTGCTACTGAATAAGAATTAAACCAATTTGGACATTCTGGGCAAATCTTACAATTCCAATTCTCAAATCCTAGCTACAACAAAGCAAGAGTTACTTTAAGATAAAAAAATCCCAGCAGAAAATGCTTAAGTATTAAGATTTAAAAGAACTTTTCTCAGCTAAAATAAAGTATTGTTTAGACTTAGTATGAAAGCTGATTTTGAAAGGCATTGTTCCACAACCTCCCAACATAGATCAAAACTCAAGTTCTCATTTTTTAAGTTTGCAATGTCTTTATGTAAACTTTGTATTTGAATATTTGAAAGTGAGCATTTTTGCCTCTTACTTTTCTTAGAGGACTTCCCTTCTTCAGCAATTTTTGGAGGGACAGCCATTTCTTCTGGAAGATTCTCCCGTTCCTGTTCAAGATCATCTTTTTTCTTCTTCTTTCTCTTCTTTTTTGCTAACACTGGCTCTAATGCAACCTGCTCTTCTGCCTGTTCAGAAATGCTCAAAGATTCCTCATTTTCTTTCTCAGCCATAACAGCATCTGGATCTGTTTCTGCATCAGAAATTCTGGCTTCATGAGAACCATCTTGATCATCAGCAGTTTCTGTGCTAGCAGCTTTTGCTCCTGAGACAAAATAGTTCCTGTTTAATAGACTGGTGAAGTATTACGCAACCTAACTATCAAAGATATAACCACTAGCAACATCTTGTTAATTCATACATCACTGTAAATATACTGCCAGGAAAATGAGCAGGACCATAAGAAGCCAGTCACTGACTTACCAGAAAAGCTTCAGCATAGATTAACTTCAACATTAAACACCTTCTGCACATAAGAAAACACTTAACCAGGGTAGTCAATATAAGATATAAAGCCAATTTAGTAAATGTTTTTGCTCCTATCCTTTTCAGTAGGTTGGACAGACACCAAAAAAAGCAGGTATTGCTATTCCTGAAAAGAACTGTATCTCTTCGGAAAGAAGTTATGATAGCTGCAGAAAGCACGCCATGAAAAAGCAATTTTAATCATTTAAATTTTTAATCAATAAATGTACAGTAGTTAATAATTTCTTATTTATATGAGAAAGATAAATTAGTATCTAGTTAATAATTCACAAATTTTCTTCTGGGTTTAACAAATTTCTAAAATTCTCCTCCCTCTCCTTTTCAGGATATTTTGTCTTGATCTTACATTTATGCAGAACATCAAGTACCGAGAACCTTTCCTTATTCTTACACAAACTTGTTCCCCTGTAATAAAAAAATCTAAAATGCAAGAGAAGTAGAAAGGCATACTCACATTCCTTTACACATAAAGTACTTTTAATCTACCACTGAAATCTACAAACAGGATTCTGTATGTTGCTCTAAGTCCTAATAGGTGGAATACTTTACTTAATCAAATCTGAAATCAAGAAAAGCAGCAACTATGTCAATTTTAACTTTTAAAAAGCAATGTAGCTTCCTAACTAGCATCCCCTTTAAAAACGCTGTTCACTTGTTTGTTCCACAATACCACTTACAAAGAAAATGGGTCCTTGTGGAATGAACAACCTCACAGAATTAGCAGGGAATTTATGAAATGGTGTCACTATAACTGTCTGTAATTTAGGCACATCTCTGAAAGGTACCTTAAAAAGTACTGAGGTAATAAAAGACTATATGGTGATCAACAGTAACTAAACAAAATCTTTACCCTTTATTTTGAACAGACCAGAAAACTAAGACAACTCTTATAAGACTTCTTGAAAAGAATCACACCATTCAGACTCAGGGAGTCAAACTGTAATTAAAGGAGAAACACAACCATTAAAAGAAGAGAGCTTAAAAAGTAAGAGAAATTTAAAGTCACGAAAGAGCTTGCCAAATACAGTTTTAGCCCAAGATTCTAAAAGTGAATTTGTTAGCAACTCATGAAGACACTTATCAACTGTTAAATCAGAATATCCTGTTTGGAATATCAGTGCTTCAGACTGTGGAAGACAACTGACTTCAGGGTGGTCTCAAATTCCTGTCCAGAGAAAACTCATCTCATGAAACAGGCTGCTACCAGCCATCATCATCTCACACATCAGTAAACCACATCTGAAAAAGTTACATTATGTAGCCAGGATCCTCTTGTCCTCTCTGCAACAGGAAACGAAAAGATTCCCTACGTGATTTTTCCCCTGCTGGCAACACACTACTGACCACTGCTCTGTGAATGCTATCTTAATCATTCTTTTGATGTACCTTTTGGCTTCTTCTGAGACCTTGGAGGTTTCTTCTCCCTTGCCTTCTGGCTTTTAACAGTCTTTTGCTTCCTCTTCTCCTCATCTGCTAAGACCTTCTCGAGCAACTGGGCAAAGAATTCAAAGTCAAAAGGCCGCTTTTCTTCTATAAGATTAAAGCAAACAAACAACATATTTCAAAGTTGATAATTTTTCCAAGTTTCTGCTTTGCAAGTGTACATGTTATGATGCTAAAAAGCAAAGGTTCTATAAACAAAACTCTTTCTTAAAATAATTTCTGTATCACTTGAGCAGGGACCAGAGTTCATTATGGATTATGACAGCTTAGTTTTGAAAACAAACAGTAATAAGGTTACAGTACTTAGTAGTTTTGAAAATTGAAGAAGTGATGATACAATACACAAATTGTGCTATAATGTCAAATAATGTATTAACATGCTGCTCTAGGACTTAGGTATGAAAAAAAACAACTACAATTTAATGACTCATTGTAGGGTGAGGTACTTTTACTCTACTTACTGAAAGCTTTGTCTATCCTCCATCCATTAGCTTTTTCCTCACGTTTGAACTTGTTCTAAAAGCAAAGGTATAACTGTTCTTTTTAGTAACATTATATTGTACAAAATTGCAGATCAAGATAAGCTTTCAACGCAAAGAATTTCCTACCAACTAGAATTGTTAAATTTACAAGCACACTCACAGAACACAAGCTTGTAATTAATTTTATATTTAAAACCTGTCACCAATAGGTAACACCAGTCATTATTTTTTTTATTATTTTCAACATTTTTGTTCTTACTTCACATCTAAGCAGGGTTTGAAATCTCAAAGATTTTCCCAGCTGGATACCATGAAAGAGGCCACACAGGCAACCCTCACCAAAAGAAAATAGAGACAAACTGTGTCTAGGTACATTAAATACACTGACTATTGACTGGAATTCAGCTCAGCATATTAATGTTTCAGATACTTAATACCTCTTGGGAACAGGTATTACCAAAAGCATTGCTATAGATCCAATTAACATCAAAATCGTCAATACTAATAGAGGAAGCATAGGAATAACAAATGAGAAAAAGAAAAGTGAAAGCAAACATTTACTTGCTTTACTGAGTGCTTTAATTTTTACCTTAATTTCTGCTCTGTCTCTATGAGGGAACAGCCGTCCAATCAAGGAGAAGTCTGTTCCTACCATACTGATTGCTAAAAAGAACATGTCTGTTTCTGGAGTGGGGGGGAAAAAAAAGAAAGAAGATTCACACACTTAACTGTTTAGTTAACCATCCTTCTGGCTACCCCAAATAAAATCACCAAACTTAATGCAACCAGATCAGAAACTTTAAGGATACCTACTGTTACTGCAAGTTCAGCTCAGCTGGAATATGCGTATTATTTCACCTAAGTACTTCTAATAACATATCTAATAACATTGCTGACTGGCCTTTTAACAAAAAGAACTGTCTAATCTGTTACAAAACTGCAGAACATGAAAAGAGAATCCAAAATCCGAAATTACACTTCTGATAAGGCAGAACAGATTTCCAGTGTCTAAACATCCATGACAGAAGGAAATCAGAGACAGCCTTCATGTCACAAGGCGCTGGGCTTTATAAAAATACCAGTTTTCACAGTAAGCATCAGAGCTCTGCTTATTCTAAGCATTTGTAGGGTTGAGACTAAGTCATGCAAACAGATCCATTTACTCCACTAGAAATAAAAATTGTTGAGTATAAAGCATAGGTGGAAATATAAGATTTTTTTGCAGACTCAAAACTTGAAACCAAAATATGCTTACCTTTATTTGACCATGGTTTTGTGTAACAACTTCTCCTGAAGCTAGAATATGTAGTTGTAGAACCACGTTCAAAGATGGGGTCATTTTCTTCTACAACACATGGACCTTTTGTTCTTAGAACTTCTACAGTTAAACTGGAAAAGCAAATATACACAGAGATTTATCTGAAAACAATGCTAACAAGACACATAGTAGGTATTTACAGGTCAGCCACAAGTCAGTGTTTGTACTGTGTAATCAGGTTTAATAATTACATTAACATGCATTTTAATGAGACAACACAGCAAAAAAATCATTATCCTAGCCCAGCCTGTACACATGAATATGATTTTTGTAAGCTACAGTATAGACAGGCATAATTAACTTAAATAAAAGAAAAATGCTATCTTTTTAACATTCAAGAAAATTATTTTGCAAAACCACAAGAGCCTCTCCATATCCTTTTTGAATACTTTCAAATTCTTTTATCAGGACTGCTCTATCCTTGGCCTACATCTCATGCTAATAATACATTTGGGGAACTCAATAATTTGATAATCATTACTTTAAAAAAGCCATATTCTAAGCTAAATTACGAAAACGGATTAATAAATATCTATCGATATATAAAGCAGCAACATGCAAGATGCAAAGCTGGAGCAAGTCATACTGACAGCCAAGTAACAGTAAGCAGACATACATACTGTGAGAAAAAAAAGAAAGTTAACTAAAAAGAAGGCATTCAGAAGTTTGACGAATATTCAGTATTTGTTCACTATAACAAAACATGACATCTTCCGCTCCATCTCCTTCTCCAAAACACAGTTCTCATAGAGAAAGTCTGCACAACTACAGCTCATATTCTGCCACCTTTGTACTGCTTCCTAAGCTAGGACAGATGAGCTCTCGGAAATACACTTGCATTTGTCCCCATCCAAAGTAACTGTTCTCTATCCACAAACTAAGCAGCAATGTACTGTATATTGTGCATGAATCAGGCACAGAATTTGTTACCTTTCTTCATCCAGAATAATTGAACCATCTTCTGCTACTTTCACACGAGGAACTAGAAGTGAACCATCCTGACTCTCCTCCCCATTCTCTACTTCATCATCCTCCTCCTCATCTTCATGATCAGCAGTACTTTTCTCTTCCGGTCTAAAATTTTAATAGATGAAGCAAAAATACTAGTTTTGTTAGTATTTTGAATTGCTGCTCTGTGTGCCAGACATTTAATACTTTAATGAACCACCCAGCAATTCAAACAATCAACAAGTTAGTGAGTACATAAACTCTAGAATCTGCTTTTATTCTACTGTAAAATGGGCAAATCCAAAGCCACAACATTGAAAGCAAAATGCTCTTTAATCACCCTCCCCTCCCAAATTGCAATTTCTTGTAAGTATGGGCTGTGAAATTGAAACAGTAAAAAAAAAACCCCAACCAAAACCCCAGAAAAACAAAAACAAACAAAAAACCCACACAACCCCCCCCCCCTTACTATCACCACAGAAACATGGGTGTTTTTTAACATCAGAAAATTTTTTTATATATTTCCACCACCAACTTACTCTTTCATTTGACTTAGTGCAGAGCTTTTTTCTGTTCTATTTTCTTCTGCCACTGAAGACCTAGAATTTCATAAAAAGGTAGAGATGTCTGTACAGATAGATTTCCACTTCATTCCACAAAATCTGCTTTATTGGGTAATAGACAAAGAAACACAAAGGGTTTTTTTTTTCAATTCTTTGTTTCACATCTAGACTTAGGTCTAACTGAAAACCACCACTACTCAATGAACTTTGGGGGGGGGGGGGTGTATAAGCAAGGACAAAAAAAAATATTTCAAGCTGTAATCCACTGTAAAGGTACAGAGAATGTGATAACAATCTGATTCATTTCCTGCTTAAGGATTCTTCAGTGTAAAACAAACAAAAAAAAACCCAAAAAACATAAAACAAGGGAAGTGATAAATATAATACAGAAGCACGCAAACATTAACAAACAGGTGGTAACAGACAATACCAGAAAACTGATCTGCTACTGAGAGAAAGAACAGGACTTAGATAGCTGTACTTCTGTTTATGTGACTTTCTTTGGTAGACAGCAAAAATGCCCTGCTCTGCCTGTGGCAGTCTGTGCAAGCCAGCTATATTAGTATTCCCTGTGTATACGCACTTCTGGGATTCTCACTCAGCCTTGCTACTAGCAAAACCTGCAAAGGGAACAGTAGCAGCTATACACATCCAGCTGGAACGTAAAGACCTCAGGGGTCTTACGTGCATTTTGCACTTCACCACCTGGGATGGAGAAATGCTTAGTCCACTATATTGGACAGGCAGTCGTAACATCCCTAAGAGCTATAACTAAAAGTTTAACAGCAGCTAATAAAATAAAACCAAAAAAACAACCAACCAACCAAAGCCAACCAACCAAGAAACAGCAAAACACAAAAATAACCCCAAACAAAAGCTCACAAAAATATTTCTGTTATTCTGCATTTGCACAGAGATAAATCAACACTGGAGACAGGTTCACGTTTTCATATTTAAGTAAGTATGCTAACCCCGATTCTTATTTCTGTATTAAGACTGAGTATGTGTGCAAATGTCTAAAAGCTTTTGTTACAATACTGCATCTAATACTCCAGATTTAAGAATTCTCTATTTCACATTAAATTGGTAGAAAAAAGAAAAATCATTAAACCTAAGGAAACAGAAAATGGTCATACTTACTTCATAGGATTGTTTTCTGGCAGATAGTATATCAAGTCTCTCATGGTCATTTTAGAACGATCTGGTGGAGAACGTCCCTCAATTATTGGAGGCTTCTGTTTCAACTGTTTCCACATAACAAGACAAAAATACCCTTAAATTCACACTGAAAGTACTTTTCTATTTCACAAATGAATATTTTTATTTCTTTACAGAGCACCCCATTCAAGGAGGTTTGTTGTTCCTCCCCTCCCTCCAATGTTATCCTAAAAGTCAGAGAGAACACCTCTGACTTAAGTAACTTACCCTCTCAAGCGCAATTTAATACTTGGCACAAGTGAAAAGTTACTAAAAATTACAGACTTTGGTCAAAAATTAAGTTGAAAAGATATGAGGAACCCCAAATACCCAGCTTTTACATCATATTTTCCAACTGTATTCCTAACTGTGAAACTTAGAACCGCAGTTCTCATGCAAAAAAAGCTTATGGGGCTAATCAAAAGATACATATAATTCCTGTATTATGAGGGAATACAGTTCTACTACTGCTTATAAACAGACTACATACACTTGTAAGAACACAGACTATTAGCAGTATGCAACTAATGAGCATCAGAAAACACCTCTGCAAACAGATAACATATGTTAGGTGCATAACACATTTGCCCTTCACAGATGAGCACTACTGAACACGGAGGCTTACCATCCGCTCTTTCTTCAGCTCTTCTTTAAGCATTTCTCTTAACTTCTGAGCTTTGAGGACCCTTTCACGGTCAGAACATACTCGTTTCTCTTTTAAACGAGCAGGTTTCACAGGTAACTTCTCCTCCTGTGTTCCTGATCTTTCCTGTGTTGATCTCTCCTTGAGTGAGGAGGGTACATTCTTCTCCAAGGTATCATCATTTTCTTGAGCAGTCACACCTACAGTTTGCTCTTCGTTTGCTGATTTATTTCGTGGGGAATTCTGTGGCGCTTGTGGCACAGGTATTTTCTTTTCGGGCAACACAGGGGACTCTGAAGGGCTTTCAAAATTACTCTCCTCTGATGGAGAGGAATCCTTCTGAAGTGAAGCACTGTCTTCAGGAGCCTGTGATGCTTGCCCCAGTGGTTTTGATGCTAAACGCTGAGCAGATGAAGGTCCAGCTCTAGGTTTCAGATTGGGCACAGTGGAAATACGTCTTCTTCTCTGCACAGGCATCTCTGCATGTTTACTAGCTTCTCCAGCACCATTTGATCTATCAGCCTTGTCATCGCTGAAAAATTTAAAGGAGTATTCTGAAACACTTTACAGTGACAGATTCATAACTTCTACTCTCAGCGTATGTTTACGCACCAATCAGTATGAATGTAGCACTAGAGAGAAAAAACAGTTATATAGAAGCTGCAACACTAGAACCAGCCTTCAGCTGGTACTTCCTCATAAACTTGCTGGCTACAAGAACCGGTATATTATTTTCTAACATTAACTATTAATGTTACTGTTACAAGCCAGTTGTCTAGTAATGCTAAACTCACATGTTCCTAACCCCCCCAGCCTGCTTTTTCAAATGCTGTCTACTCTCGGCTGAGAATGCCAAACATCATAGTACATACTAAGAATAATCCAATAAAGATATACACAAATAATTTGATGGTTTTTATAACTCTCTATCTGAACATTCCTCTTATACATTTGTAAAGACATGACACATAAACTGTGAATGCAAAAAAAAAACAAACCAAAACCTTCACCAATCACAGAATCAAAGAATAGTTAGGGTTGGAAAGGACCTTAAGATCATCAAGTTCCAACCCCCCTGCCATGGGCAGGGACACGTCACCCCAGACCATGTCAACCAAGGCTCTGTCCAACCTAGCCTTGAACACTGCCAGGGACGGAGCATTCACAACTTCCTTGGGCAACCCATTCCAGTGCCTCACCACTCTCACAGTAAATAACTTCCTCCTTATATCCAATCTAAATTTCCTCTGTTTAAGTTTTAACCCGTTACCCCCTGTCCTATCACTACAGTTCCTAATGAAGAGTCCGTCCCCAGCATCCTTGCAGGCCCCCTTCAGATACTTGAAGGCTGCTACTAGGTCTCCACGCAGCCTTCTCTCCTCCAGGCTGAACAGCCCCAACTTTCTCAGCCTATCTTCATATGGGAGGTGCTCCAGCCCCTGATCTCCTCATGGGCCTCCTCTGGACTTGTTCCAACAGATCCATGCCCTTTTTATGTTGGGGACACCAGAACTACACACAATACTCCAAGTGAGGTCTCACGAGAGCAGAGTAAAGGGGCAGGATCACCTCCTTCGACCTGCTGGTCACAATCCCGTTGATGCGGCCCAGGATCCGGTTTGCTTTCTGGGCTGTGAGTGCACACTGAAGCTGGCTCATGTTCAGTTTCTTATCAACCAACACCCCCAAGTCCTTCTTAGCAGGGCTGCTCTGAATCTCTTCTCTGCCCAACCTGTAGCTGTGCCTGGGACTGCTCCAACCCAGGTGTAGGACCTTGCACTTGGCAGGGTTAGACTTCATGAGGTTGGCATCAGCCCACCTCACAAGCGTGTCAAGGTCCCTCTGGATGGCATTCCTTCCCTCCAGCGTATCAACCGAACCACACAGCTTGGTGTCATCGGCAAACTTGCTGAGGGTGCACTCAGTCCCACTGCCCATGTCACCAGCAAAAATGTTGAACAAGAGCAGTCCCAACAGTGATCCCTGAGGGACACCACTTGTTACTAGTCTCCAGCTGGACATTGAGCCATTGACCACAACTCTTTGTGTGCGGCCATCCAGCCAGTTCTTTATCCACCGAGTGGTCCACCTACCAAACTGATGTCTCTCCAATTTAGAGACAAGGATGTCATGTGGGACAGTGTCAAATGCTTTGCACAAGTCCAGGTAGATGACATCAACTGCTCTACCGCTGTCCATCAGTTCTGTAGCCCCATCATAAAGGCCACCAAATTGGCCAGGCAGGATTTCCCCTTAGTGAAGCCATGCTGGCTGTCACCAAGCACCTTGTTGTTTTTCATGTGCCTCAGCATGCCTTCCAGGAGAATCTGCTCCAAGATTTTGCCAGGCACAGAGGTGAGACTGACTGGTGTGTAATTCCCCAGGTCATCCATTTTCCCCTTCTTGAAAATGGGGGTTATATTTCCCTTTTTCCAGTCATAAAAAGCTTCACCTGACAGCCATGATTTTTCAAGTACGATGGACAGTGGCTAAGCAGCTTCATTTGCCAGCTCCTTCAGGACCCACAGATGGATTTCATCAGGTCCCATACACCTGTGCATGTTCAGGTTCTTAAGATGGTCTTGAACCAGATCATCTTCCACAGTGGGCCCAAGGTCTTCATTCTCACAGTCCCTGCATCTGCCTTCCAAGACTTGGGTGGTGTGGTCAGAGCATTTGCTGATGAAGACTGAGGCAAAGAAGTCATTGAGAACCTCAGCCTTCTCCAAATCCAGGGTAGCCAGTTATTCTGATAGCTTCCGGAGGGGGCCTACATTGTTCCTAGTCTGTCTTTTATTTGCAATGTACCTATAGAATCCCTTCCTGTTTTCCTTAACATCCCTAGTCTGTCCTCCATCACTGTCCTTCCTTTAACCTTGACCCACAAACTCCCTGTTAACTGATCACCTGTCCCCAGACAGAGTTCCATACTCTCCAGCCTATTCCTAACATAAGCAGCAACTCCCCCTCTGCGTCTGCAGGGCCTGTCTTTTCTAAAGAGCCTGTAACCTTTCATTCCAACACTCCAGTCATAGGAGCCATCCCACCATGGTTCTGTGACATCCTGTCATGGTTTAAACCAAGCCAGACAGCTTGTCCACCTACTCCCCCCCCCGCTTCTTGCCCTCCCCCTACTCTCGGAGGGATGGAGAGGAGAATCAGAAAGAATGCAACTCCCATGGGTTGAGATAAGAACAGTTTAGTAACTAAGGTATAACACAAATCACTACTGCTGCCACCAATAATAGTAATGATAAAGGAAATAACAAGGGAAGAGAATACACCTCATCACCAGCCGACCGATAACTCGACCCCCCAGCCCGACCAAGCACCGACCGATACCTCCTCCAACCCTGCAGTCCACCTAGCCCCTCCGGGTAACTCTGCCAGTTACATCCTGGGCATGACGTGCTGTGGTATGGAATACGTCTTTTGTCAGTTTGGGTCAGGTGCCCTGTCTCTGCTTCCTCCCAGCTTCCCTCCTCCCTGGCAGAGCATGAGGCCCACAGAGTCCTTGGCCAAACCAAAACATCACTGTTATCAGCTCTGTTCCCAACCCGAAGGTCAAAACACAGCACTGCACCAGCTACTGAGAAAGAGAAAAAATGACTGCTACTGCTGAACCCAGGACACATCTATGATATCATACCCCCATAGACATGCACACAACTCTAATTCCTCTTGTTTGTTCCCTATGCTATGGGTGTTTGTTTAGAGGCATCTGAGCAGAGCTCCAAATGAAGCCGGCTCATTGGCTGCAGTGGCTGAAATATCTCTGCATTGCTCCAAACATTTATTACAGGTGCTGGCAACTGACTGGGTGTGTTGGGATGGAACGATGCCCCCCTCCCTGAATACATCTAGTTTAAAGCTTTCTTTACCAGCCTGGCAAGCCTCCTACCAAAACCACTCCAGACAAGCTCCACCAGCCTCCAGTAGACCTGGCCTCTCAAAGTGAGACCCGTGTTCTATATACCCAAACCCCTGACTATGGCACCACTGTTCTAACCGTTTATTAACCTGGCCAATCCTCCTACCCTTTTTAAGGTCCTCCTCTTTATCCTGGAGAATTGATGAAAACACAATCTGAGCTCCAGAGCCCCTAACCACCTCTCCCAGGGCTCTGTAGGCCTTCTTTATGGTCTCCAGGCTACTGCTATCTATATCCCTAGCACCCACATCGATCACTAGAAGTGAGTAATAGTGGGACTTACTATTACCAGGCAGGCTCTCTGTAACATCCCTGATCCAAGCCCATGATAGGCAACACACCTCCCTTGAGACTGAGTTAGGCCAACAGATGGGTGCCTTTGTGCCTTTCAAAGTAGAGTCCCCTATCACTACGACCCACCGCTTTTTCCTAGCAGCGCCATCAGAGATCATCTTTACGGGTGCATCAGTCAGCTGTTCATGTTGTGAGTGTGTCTCCTCATTAGCCCCCTGGGGAACTGCAAAGCGGTTCTGGGTGAGGACATCAGATTTAGGAGGAAGCCCCTTGCTTTTAATTGTCCTCTTCCTCCTTTTTTTGTTGGTTTCTTTTGTTGCTGTTTCCCAGCTTCCTGGGTTAGTGGCCTTCTTTCCTTCATGAGCTACAGTGGACGCTTGAGGCCCCTGCACAGTTTGATTCTGGAGCAAGCAGAGCTGCTTCCCTCAGCTTCCCTGGCATCTTGCAGCCGATTACCAGTGTCCCGCAGCTCAGCCACCCGCTGCAGGAGGACCTCCACCAGGGCGCACCGAGTGCAGCCCTGTCCATTGTGCGCCCTCCCCAGACCAGCGCAGGCACTCCCTACACTCCGAGCCCTGCACTGCAGCCTCCCCTCTCATCAGCTCTGTCTGGGTGCCTACGCTGGCCACTGCCGAGGCAGCCAGAGCTGAGCTGAGCTCCCAGACCGGGCTCTGGGCATAAGGCGAGAGCTCACCAGATCCCTCGGCTGCACTCCTGGCCGAGCCGTTCCTACGCTGCTGGTTATGCTTAACTACATCAGAAGTAGCATTTTAAAGACAAAAAAAGATCAGCTTTCCTGGAAAGCTTTCTTAAATATTTTTCCATCCCTTATGCAGAAATCATTTTCAAAGTGCAAGCACAACTGCCAACCACTACAATTTGCCTAAATCTGCAGACTCCTGCAGTGTTTGGCTCTCCGGCTGTTGCTTACAGTAAGGCAGCACAGAATCATAATTGAGTCATAAAGAGTTCTTTTTAATTTTACATCGGAACTATGCCTTGTACCTAAGGACAACCACACCCATGGTTCACTTAGCTATCATCAAGGAGAGTCACAAGAATACCCTGGAAGTCATAGAAGAGTATAAGCCCACAGAGAAACTTCCCCAGATGCTCTCCAGCTACCATCTACTATTCAGACAAATGCTGCAGATGATGGTTTTTGCATTTAACAGCCTCTCTTAAATGGCTGAATCAATTTGTCCTACACTGTGAGTTCATATATATTTTTAGTGCACAGAACATCCCTCAGCAAGTTCAGCAGCCTCACTACCTGGTGCCTATCTTGAACAAGATTCTCTCAGGTTCCATTCAATACAGTCTGGGTTTTCTATGGCAAGAGACAGTGGAAAGCAATTCTTTGTTCATCTTTCCGCACCGCCTGTGTTTTTTTCAGTTTTAAATCAGAGTGCCACACCAGATTCTGTACAGTTAAATACAATTTAGCAGATGTACAAAGATACAGCAAATAACTGCATTTAAAAAGAAAAGAAAAATCTTACGCTCAGAGAATTTTCACTTGCCTGATAATCAACAAAGCACATTAGCCATTTAGAAAACAAAACAAAGTAACTTATACTGCAAACACAGGTTTGAGCAGCTATGAAGGAACACCTTAGGCTGGAATGATAAATATGCAAGATACTCTCACATTTGACTTTCCTTTTCTTGCAGACTACACACAAACACATTGTGCTGTATGTCATCAGTTACTGCCCTCGTGACCCTCAAATCCACTCTTTCTTAATCTTCAGACACAGCCAGGTGGTCAATCTTTAAAACGCACTACCCCAGAGACAGCTCCCTCAAAAAACTATTACTGCCTACTCTGTGATAAATCCCTAGGCCTGATTTCTCCTCTTTGGTTGCTATATGCCTTCAAAAGCATCCAAAAACTAAGAACCAGATCTACGGTACAGTTTAGGGTGACCAGAGGCAAGAAGGCAACAGCTCTCACCTGTGCATTTTCTACTTGCTCCCTAAAAGTTCCCCTGAGACTCTCACAGCAGTTTTACGCTGGATTATTATTTTCTCTGCCCAGCTGAGCTGTGAAACCCACCACAGCATTCCAACGCGTCTCTTCTAAGTGCGTTGTTTTTCCAAACCTGCACGTTGCTATAGAACTCCTTCCCAGCCACATCCCATGTATTTCTCTGCACTGGCATGCTGAAAAGGTTTGTACTCTATGTTCAGTATGAACAACTTCATCCAAACTGTTTTAAGTTTTTTATAACTGCTCCGCTTTTTCTGTAAAACAAGTGGATGTACACCTAGATATTTTCCACATTTATTGAGTAAAATATTTTCCAAGCCTGTTACTTATATGGCAATGGTCTACTTTTTAAGCCATGTGAACAGATCCCTTAGAATATTCTCCCCCTCAGAACAGCACTGATGTCTAGTTTTGGAACTTACAAATAATTTACACTGAAACATACAAATCTTTAATAAATCTGCTGAATCAGCAACAGTACCACACAATTGAAAAATAACAATTATAACTTCATTTAAGAAAAAAGTATCAAATAACAAAAGGTCCAGTAACCTCATCTCTGCAACACATAAATTTTATAAATAAAAACTGAAAGAAAAATATCCTTATACATCCTTATAGCACAACACAAGCTTAAGCATAAAAGATGTAAAATGTATTTAAGTATAAAAGATGTAAAATGCAAGTTGAATTAAAGGCAGCACGTGTCTACTAAAGATATGCCATGCTAGTTAGTCTGATACCAGAATTTTTACTCACAGAAGACTGTAAGATGACCTTGTATTATACCATTCAGGATGACTTTCAACCAAAATAATAGAGGTATTCGTGCAGAATGCAAAACCAGATAGATAAAAGCGAGAAGGTTATCCTGGAAAGCAGTTACCAAACTGGGAAAATGTCCTGAAGAACTGGTCTGTACTGCTTTCGACAGGATAGTTTATTTTTTTCACAGTACCATTTCAGCTGTTGCTGAGCAGTGCTTACACAGAGCCAAGGCCTTTTCTCACATTGCCCTACCGGCAATAAGGCTGGGGATGCACAAGGAGTTGGGAGGGGACACAACCACAACTGACCCAAGGGATATCCAATACCATATGGTGTCATGCTCAGCATAAAAGCTGCGGAAGAAAACAGGGGAGATGTCTGCAGTGACAGCTTTGTCTTCCCAAGTAACTACTACATGCATGAAGCCCTGTTTTCCTGGAGATGGCAAGAGGTGAATTAATTCCTGACTTTGCTTTGCTTATACAAGAGGCCTTTGCCTTACCTATTAACATCTCAAACAAGTTTTTGGCTCATTTGCCTTTCAATTCTCTGTCCATCCCAGCAAGCAAGCAGCAGTGTGTGGGCCTTTAGGGGGGTAGCCCACAACAGGGCAGTCCTGAAGGACTGACTGATCCTAGGATCAACTTTATCATGCATTTCAACTGCAGTAAAAAGCACTTTAAAAAAAAAAACCCAAAAAGGAAATGGCAGAGACTTCTCCCTTGCTAATGCATGAAGAAGTGAAGGCAAAACAGGCAGCGCCGTAAGGATGCAAAATTAAAGTCATTCAGTTGGTTTGTTTTTTTTTTGTTTGCTGTACACAACAAACTGGAGCTCCCAGCTACTGCACTGCCATTAAAAATGAGTATTGGAACACACCAGTCCCCTCCTTTGCAGTCTTAACTCATATACTGTTTCAAGAACCTGCAGTGGAACTGCAGTAAAGAAACGCAAATTTTGCTTAGGTTGCAAATGCGTCAGACACCCAGAAGCTGTTGTCCGATTGCAGCCACCGGGCACCAAACAGGGCGCAGAGCTGCACCTTTATTTCAGGAGTTTTCAAGGGGAGACAACATCAAACCAAGGCAGGTCCTACCCGGCGACGATGAGTCGCGACAACGAGCATTACCGGAGAGACAGCCACGGCTACATCCCAAGGGCACCGGGGCAGGGTGCACCCCCTCCCCAGACCCGTCCCACTCCCGGAGATCCGCAGACGGGCTGTGGCGGCGACCTAGACCAGACCCGTCGAGGAACCGCACGGAGCGGCACGGCAACCCCACACCCGAGCTACCGCGGGCCTCGGTAGCACTCACCTCTCGACCCGCGACGCGGCTGGCGGTGGCTCGGCGACGGCTTCCGCCGCAGCCTCTGATCCGGCAGTCACCGGGGAGCCCGAGGCATGAGGCTCCGTGTCCGCCGCGCTGCCGGCAGTGCTGCTGGCGGCGCTGACGGCGGCACTGCTGGCGGAGCTGGCGGCGCTCCTGACCCCGGGCCGCACGTTGGGCCGCACATTGAGCCGGGCCCGCCGGAACATGGCGGTGGCTGTGGCGGCGTCAGCGCCGCGGGGCTCGGTAACGCCGCCAGGTCCGCCGCCTCACGGCATGTCACCCTCCTCGAGCCCGGCGACCCCGTAGCGTCATCACCAGGCGGCGGCAGGAAGCAGAGGGGCGGGGCCGAGTAGGGAGGCGGTGGGGAGAAGGGAGCGCTGGTGCTGTACGAAGCCGAGTTTCCTGTTAGAAATGTTCGGCCAGCAGCTTTCCAGGCGTCAGTTGTGCCGGCTGTGGCCCCTTTGAAACAAGCAAGACGGGTTCTTGCGGCTGGGAGGGGTTCTTCAGTGGGAGGACTTGGGCGGTGCTGATCAAAGCGCCCTCGGGCCAGGAAGAGGAGGGTTTACTGTCGGTCTGTAGGGCCCGGAGAAGAAGGGGCTGCCAGAGAAAGCAGCGGAGGGGCGGCTTGAGGGTTCTTTCTTTAGTTTCGCTTTGTGTGCTTTTGTTGTCCTTTTAAACTTTCTGTGGTGATTTTAACTGACAACGATCTGCTGCAGCGATTCCTTCATCCACCTTGATACCAAATAAAGTACGTTACTGTGTGTAGAGAGATAGTAAGACTTTAAGGACTCTTAGCCCTACTGAGGCTGCACCTTCAATCCTGTGTTCAGTTCTGGGCCCCTCATTACAAGAGAGACACTGAGGTGCTGAAGTGGGTCCAGAGGAAGGCAGCAAAGCTAGTGAAGGGTCTGGAGCACAAGTCTGATGGGAACTGGGGGGGGGGCGGGGGTAGTCTGGAGAAGAGAAGGGTCAGGGGGGACATTATTGCTCTCTACAACTGCCAGGAAGGAGGTTGTAGTGAGGTGGGGTCGGTCTCTTCTCCCAAATAACAAGCAATAAGACAAGAAGTAACGGCCTCAAGCTGCACCAGGAGAGGTTTAGATTGGATATTAGGGAAGATTTCTTCACAGAGAGGGTGCTCAGGCATTGGAAGAGGCTGCCCAGGGCAGTGGTGAAGTCATGGTCAATGGAAGCATTCAAAGAGGCCTTCAGTGATACGGTTTGGTGGTGGTCTTGGCAGTCCTGAGCGATTTATGGAACAGAACTTTATAACTCGCAAAGAGTTATAAAGCAGGTATGTTTATTGCACCACCAGGTGTGAGGGGGATCACTCCTCCTAATTTGCACACCAAATGCTCAACAAGCTGGTTATTTATTACACACAAACATAAATATTCATCAGATTTCACAAGCATAGGAGGAGATTATTATAATTATTTCCAAGAACTCATTAGTAATATTCCCCTCCCCCCTGTGTCTGCTCACTGCCATCTGGTGGTCTTGGGCTGGGGTCTTCTGGATGAAGTAAGAGGTTTTCCTCACCATGCACTTTTCACCCTTGGCACAGTTTCCCCAGCTGGCAACCTCAAGTCTTATAGAGACTAGCTGAAACAGGTTCTTGTCAGACATTCATCTTCTTGAGGGAAAAGGGTCCCTGATTTTAAACAGTGTGTTTTGCTACCTATTCTGATAGTTTAACTGGCAAGAAAAAGAACAGACCTGTTCCCTATTCTAAGTTAAGATAATGCATAGTTTGAAGAAAACTCTTAACTCTTTCCTTAGTCTGTTACTATTCCTCGCATCACTGAGGTGATGATTGGTGATCTGAAAGGGCTTTGCAATCCTGGTTGATTCTATGATTCTATAAGGAAGGCATGCAACAAGAGAACCCCGTATCTTCTTTCAAAGCAGTGCGGGCTTTCCTCCAGCTGATAAGGCCTGGGAAACAGGTAAACAACTGTGAAAGTAAACAGCTAGAGGAGCCTCTCAGGGTCATAAATTATCCAAAACAAGAATATACAGTTAATTGGCAGGACTGAACACGCATTCCAATGTCCTTAACTAACGGATTTCCATAAAAGCGTAAAGCGAGTGGGGGTATTTTAGATCGAAAGCCCTGCGTTATCAGGCCGGGGTATTCCCGGATGTGAGGTATATAGGAATAATTCGTGGCAGAAACTTAGGAGTCCTTGTCATCATTGCACTTTGGGAGGAATCGAAAATTATGTGTAGAATGTATACGAATGATCAGATTAAGATAGAAGTTCCTGTCAATACAATGATGAAAGAAAAGAAAGAACAAAGGAATAATCCTTCCTAATCAAAGTCTTTTTTACTTTAAGGGGTACTTTGTTTAACTACTTGAATGTCTCAAATGCTTTGCTAATTACAGAGGGTGTTTTGTTTAACTGCTTGAATGCCTTAAGGGGTTAGGTAATCAAGGGATACATTCTGTTACAGGATGAGGTGAAACTTGTGTATTGAATAAGTAACTATATAAGAAATGGAATTGAGGGGACTAAGACGGGGGGAATAACTGGGGTCCTCACCCTTCACTGCCTACCTCCAGCCACGCTTCCCCCCCCACGCTCAGCCCGCTGATTGGCCAAACCGTCGGGCGGTGTACTGCCTTCCGCGCGCCACGATGACGTCGGGGATCAGCGACGTCTTATAGGGAGCGGCGGGGAAGCAGAAGGTTCTGGCAGCCGGAGCGGTGGTTGTGACCCTTTCGGTGGTAGCGGCGCTGCGCGGCCCGAGTGTCTCGCGATGACCCGTGAGTGCCGCGGGCTTCAAGGCGGCTGCCCTGGACCCCGCCGGGGAGTGGGGCGGAGCGGGCGGTGGGCCTTTGCAGAGAAGCGCGGCCTGGGCACCGCGCCGGGGAAAGCCGTGCGTTTGGTCCGGGGTCGGGAGGTTGACCGCAGTGTGATGTCGGCACTTGTGGCTGTAGCCTTACCCCGGCGAGTGCATGGCCGCTGGGGCTGAGAGTGCCTACATCCTGCTGCTGGCCCAGGCTTAGAGCAAGGTGTTGGCGGGTGGGGAGGAGGAATAGCGATATGCTAGAACAACAGCAACATGGAGTTTCAGTCCTGGGTACTGACCAGTCTGCAAAAAAAAAGAGCATTTGTGTCACTGCTGAGTATTTAATACCGTGTTGCTTAAATGGTGGTAGTTAAGGTTGTTACTGAAAACGCAGCAGTACTTGCTAATCATCACCTTATTCAAAAGTAACGTTGGTATGTCTACTTTAAAATGACGGAGAACTGTGAGCCAGACATAGAATGTTCTGGTTCCCCTAGCTGGCGGGGTGGCAGGTTTGGCTTGTCTGTTACTGTACTGGACAATACAGAATCTGCCTGTGGTTAGCTGAGGAGGTGCTTTTACTTTCACACTTCAAAATGCCACTGTACTGCTGGAAGAGCAAATAAAGACCTGAGTCAAAAACAGTTTGTGTACAGATCAAACCGTGAATGTGAGAAAAATGCAGGTTTACATCTTCTGCTGATATTTTTCCCTGCCTGTTATGAATGATACAAAAATGCACATGGCTGAAGGCTAAAAAGAAGCACAGCATCCCACACCCAAGCATAGCAGTATGATTGATAGTGGAATAGACTCCACAACTTCGTTGAAGTTGTAAAGTAGGTATGCTTTATTCAGCTGAAGACGCACGGGGGATTGGTCCTCCAAAAGGCGTGCGTACCTCAGTGCTGTTTTCCTTTTACATTTATCCTGTAAAGTCATACATATGTATTAGGTTGCACAATACGCCTATACATATTCATGTGCTATCCCTGCTTCGTATTATAATGAGCTAAAGGGCTCTCCACGCATGCGCAGTGCCTCCTGGTGGTCGTGGGCAGGGGTCTTCAGATGAAGTAAGTAGTCTTCCTCTTGTGGGTAGGGGTCTTCAAGATGAAGTAAACGAGTCTTCCTCAGGCTTGAACTTTTCACCTCTGGTCCTCATGCATGCTCTTTAGGAGCTGGATGGGTCTGGTCTATGTCCAACTGGTTTAATGAGCTATTCTCTTCATTAGGAAGTTCTGTCTTGGTACTGCCTGATAGGGCATCTGCTGAGCTTGTCAAACAAGCTGTAACTTAGGCAGTATCCCCTTGTACAACCCCCCTCTGTTCTCCTCATTAGGAGGTTCTGTCCTGGTACTGCCTGATAAGGCATCTGCTAAACTTGTCAAGACAGCTATAACTTAAGCAGTACCCCCTTGTACAACCACCCTCTGTACATTTTGTCTAACCCCCTTGTACAACCCCCCTGTACACAATAGGCCACATCAGTTTCAATGATAACATCTAACTTTTGGAGGACCTACTTTAATATAGCATCTTCAATACTAGAGGTGTAGAAGTTGTGGTGTGCTACCCTACAGTCTAGCCTTAGCTTTAGTATGTATTTCTGGAGTTTAGCTCTTTGTTGTCAGTTAGACCAGGATTAGACCCTGTGTTTTCAAATGGACATTTAGTAAAGTAAATTAAGTGCTTATTAACAGCTAATTAGTGTGATTCTCAGTTCATAAATTCATGGAACTTGTACACTGCCAAATTTCAGAGTACCTGAAAATGAATAAATTTATGAAGATGGGGGTGACTAGATGAATTAGAGAGGGTTTATGTCACTAGTCTTCCATTAATTTTTCCTTTATCAAACAGTTCTATTTAATTTTGCTTTCTGTTTCGGGGACACAGTGGCAGGCACTCTTCTGCTTTAAGTTCTAACATCTGATTAGTCATTTGCTGCTCAGGCATGATGACCTCTGTAGCCAGTTCTTGCTATTCTCTTTTACCTCCTTACAGTAGAGATGATCACTGCTTGTTCCAGTGCTATTCAGAGGTCTTATGCTTATCCTTGTCTTCAAGAACAGCTGAATCTTGGAGTTGGAGGAGCATGAACAGGTTGAGCTAAGGCATATGTCTTGCAGAGGGCAGACATGGATGCGGATGCTCAAGCATAGGTACAAGCAGAAAGGGTGTACTGGCCTTTACGTGGCAGATCATGCTTGAATTTCACGTTACAGGAAGTTGAATCGTGTTCTTCCAGGACTGGACCAAACTTTGTGGAAGATTCAGGTTGGTGTTCCAGAATGTAGAAAATGACACCATCTTCCTTGGAGCTAGGGGTACTCATTCAGCATCCCAGGTGGAGTACTGGGTCCAAACAGTTCTTGGCAATGTTTACTTGGAAGCAGGGGTGATAAAAGTAAACTTTTCA